CCGGGAGCAGGGACGGAGCTGAGGCCCGGGGAAGCGGTGGGAGAGGCGGCCGCGGGTGTTCCTCCGCCAGGCCGGGGCCGCGGCTGTTCCCGTGCTCGCTCGCCGGTGGCTGTGGCGGTGACCGGGCGCAGGTGCTCCCAGCGCCCCGTCGGAGGGACAGAGGCCCTGACCGGCAAGCATCGCCTCGGTCCCTGCCTCCCTGCCGCACCTGTTCCTGGCTCAACAGCGCTCGTCATGGCTTCTTCCTTACCATCAGTGTGTTCCCAACTGCGAGAGGCTTGTGCCTGCTCCTAATATTGTATTTCTCTTTTATATAGTTGCAGTGTGATCGTAATCATTTTGCCATTGAAACAGTCTACTGGGTCTTGTTCTTGCTCCCATCTTCAGAAGGAATTCTTGCTAGTGGTTCCTAAGTGTGTGAGATTTATATTATTATTGATTCTTGTCCCACTGCAACTACCCACTTCTTTATCACACCATAGAATCAAAGAATGGTTTGGGTTGGAAGGGACCTTAAAGACCATCTGGTTCCAAATGCGCTGCCATTGGGACACTTTCATTGATCTCATAAGTAGTCCTGTGAAAGCTTACTGAGATCAAGAACTTTGATATTTTATCAGTGCCTGTATTTTTTTTCTAGTGGAGGAAGCACCTCTTATGAGGAAAGGTGGAGGGAGTTGAGCCTGTTGAAACCAGAGAATTACAAGATTGAGAGGGGATTTTATCAATGCCCACAAATATCTGAAAAACAGGTTTCAAGAGAACGGGAACAAGTGGTGCTCAGTGACAGGATAAGGGGCAACAGGCACAAACTAAGACACAAAGAGTTCCATCTGAATAGGAGGAAAATTTTCTTTTGAGGGCAGAAGCAGCTGCAGTGTGCCTGGAGCTCGGGGCTTTCTGCTTAAGAAACCCTAACCCTAACCCTAGGCAGGTAAATCAGCTGAAACTGGAACAGGCTGCCCAGAGAGGTTGTGGAGTCTCCTCTGGAGATACTCAGGAGCTGTCTGGATGAGATCCTGCTCTGCATGACCCTGCTTTCACAGGGGGCTTGGACTTGATGTTTTCCAGAGATCCCTGCCCACCCCAGCTATTCCAGCAGGACAGAGTGAGGAGAGGGGAGAAAAAAAAAGGCCAGGAAGAGTAGCAACTTCCAGTCTTTATAGTGTCACTGGTCCAGATCCACATTTCTGGATTTCCAGTCTGGAAACCCAGAAGTGTGGCTGCAGCTTAGGCAGAGCTGGCTCAGGTGCTGGGCCAGAGCAGTTCCTCCAGCCTGAGCACAGCTGTATCCTTGGTCTACTGCCTTTGTTACTGTGGAGCATTTGCTGTGGGGAAATTGGAAAACCTGTCACCTGAATCATTTAAAATAGACTGAAAAAAACTAGACAAAGGGGTATAAAGCACAAGCTTTTGCTGGCCTTTAGAATTCTCTAGGGATGATATGACACTATGGATTTTATGATAATCACAGTGCATTCCTCAGTGAGAAAGTTTAAAACAAATGAGTCATTTGTGTTATGTTGAAGCTAAGTATTGGGTAAAACTTCCACAGGGTGTCTTTTCTTCCCCAGTAAACATGACTTGTGTGAACTGATAAAATGGCATTTACAGTTTACAAAAATGAACAAATGATCTTGCACAGGATGTGATTTCACATCACACACAATGTATATTTATGGTGTGCATTTTTTTTTAGTTATTAAATAACATGTGGGTATAATGATGAAATCTCTGGAACGCCCCCAGCTTATCTCCACTTTTGTCTGTGCTCATGATGGGATTTGCATAAGAAACTTATACACAGGCTATTGTTACATGTGCATTTGTTGCCATTTTTATTGTGGGTCACTGGGGTTTCATTCATTGAAGCTGAAGCTTTTGTGGAGTGGTAATGGACTGATGGGGACTGATAGCAGAGTCAATACTTTATACTGGATAAATCTGTGTGCATTGCAGGTTCAGATATAAGATTGCTCCTTCTCTTAGGAACTTGCTCCTACTGCCTTCTTTCTCACCAGCAGAGGTCCAGCTAACACACCAATTTCAAAACTGGAACAAGGCTAAATCTCTTGCTGTCAGTGTGTCAACAAGTTTTAAACAACAACAACACTGGTTATGCTGTGAATTCATCTAGATGTGATTTCCCTACCATAACAGAACAGTGGGACTGATATGACTGGATTAGAAACTGGAAGTTGAGAAACATTCAGAGAATGAATCAGAAATGACTGGAGAGGAGCCATCAGCAGATGGCTGTACCACATCACAAGAACTGAGGGCTTTGTGTTGTGCTGAGCCTGCTTCATCAGGGTGTGCAAGCAGCTCATTGAAGACAATATGATTTTCATATGCCTACAAGCAAGTGAGCTAAACAATACTTGTGTTCACCCCATGTCAATCAATAGTCTCAAATTCTCAGAGACAATTAGCAGTCAAATATCTTGGGTTTTATATACAACACACCTTAAGAAAAGAGTAGTTAGCCTTTACAGCAGTGACAGTGAGGAATGAGCTATGCTGAACAGGAGGATGTTATTACATTCTGTTAAATATTACATTAAAATACATTGGAGAAATGAAAGGCACAAAAGAATAAAAGGTGATGCTCTAGATTAAAAAAAAAAGCTGGTGTGCAAGATCATAAAGCTTACTGTGAAAGTTGTTCACCACAAAGTCTTTTGAGTACAAAAATAGAAAAGTTTTTCTGATGCATTTAACCATTATTTCCTAGGTGCTTTTGTTAAATCTTAGAAAATAACAGAAGTGGTTAAGTAATGCTAAAAGAACATTTTGGGTGATTACCCAGCTGACATACCCTTGCCCTTTAATCAGCTCTCTGCACTTTGAAAGGCAGTTTAAGAAAGCGGTGAGTTATCAGCAGGAAAATTTCTTACACTTTTGATGTGTGGAACTTTGACTTACTGCACAGGTTTTAAAGTCTACAGAAGTCTTTCCTACAGAATGCAGGTTTGCTTATGCTTCATTTAACTTAAATACACCAGTTTAACCCTGGAACTGAACTTGCAACCCAGCTTTTGTGGTGGCCTTTGGAGAAACAATGCCAGTGGCAATAAAGACTGTGTGAGCTTACCTGAGAAACAGTGACTTGGGCTAACCTGGCACTCAGGCTGATGTGCACAAAAGCCACTTCTTGTAGCATCAATGGCTGCAAGCTGTCACTTTGCTGTAGTACCCCCGCCCTCATGCCATGGGGTGTGTGTGTGAAGAGAAGGGCAGACACACACACAAGTGCAGTGAAGCTCATTAGCAGCACACACAGCACAGCACTGGCTGTCACCCTCAGGTGCACTCTGTCCACTCTGAACTCTCACACAAGGATATATATTTGCTTTGTCCCTACAGGCAGATATGGATGTTTCCCTAAGGATGGTGACTGGATTTGGAAAACAATAACAAAGGTTTCTACAATTTTTACAACAGCTGATGTCAATATAACAGAATCATTACAAGTGTGATATTAGTTTTGATTTTTCAGAGTATTTTTATTGCTGTTTCCATTGTACAATTTCCACATTAGAGAACAATACATAGTGTACAGTACACAACTTGCATGGTTCCCAGGTTTTGGAGTCATGTGCCAAGCTTCAGGCTGCAAAAGAGAGTTCACCATGCCTAGAATGAAAGCAGGCACATACACACAGTTCTACATTGCTGCAGCATCAGCACAATCTTGTGTGGCAAATGCAACATTATGAGCACCACCTGTCATTAGGAGACTGCCTGTACCAAAGGGTTGATGACATGGATCCTTAACATTCTGCCCCTGTAGCATTTTTCATGTCAAAGTGACATCACTAGGAAAACACATTAAGCAGTTTAGTCCTTGGTTTTAAAAGTTAGTGAAAGGGTACAGCTAGTGAAACACCTCATAAATGAAATTACAAATTTGATATACATTTTGCATAGTTAAAATTATGTCTGGGTAACCTTGGTTACTGGATTTTTACATTTTTTTTCTTCTGGCCTTTGTCCTTTTGTTTTGAGCTGAACAGTTATTCAAAATACTCCCTCATTCAGTGCCCCCCAGTCACTTCAGACACCTTTCCATTTCTTTGGCTACTTTCTTTTCCTTAACATCTTTTAACCTTTTGTATTCCTCCTACAGCAATATGCTGTGCCAGACATCCACTCCCTTACCTTTGGCTACTTGTGTTTCTTTTCTTCAGCTTTTCCCTCCTCTTCAGTCACTTCCTCTTTTTTCTGTTACTCTTCTCAACATCTCTGAGCTCTTTCTCATCTTCAGCCTTTCTGACTATCTCTTGATAGAGGGACAATGCCACAGGTTTCTCCTTGTTGCATTCAGTTGCTGTTGCTATTTGCAATACCACTTCTAAATCCTTCAAAGGCATTCACCTCTAAGTGCCTCATGCTTTCCATAATTACACATAGAAAGTTTTTAATGTTTTTTTACTGTGAATAGAAGATGAAAATCCAACTCACTGCCTTGAATTGGAGCTGGAAAGAAGAAAGCTAACAGAGGGAAACAGAATGAATTATAATCCCAATGCAATAGTGCACATTCCCCCTCTTGAACTTGTGGCTGTTTGGGTTTTTTCCCTTTTAGAATAGAATTGAGCTTTTTCACAGTGTGTCAATGTATTGTCATTGTAATTTTCTGCTACAGTAAACTTAAGCTTGATCACATTTGCTTCTTTAATCTGTTCATATGACTTGTTATAAATTCCCACTGTTCTTTGCTAAATTCTTTTTAACTAGTCCCTAGCATCAGGAAAATATCAGCCTCCTACCTGTTGACACCAGAACAGGGGAGGCATAAATCCCATGCATCCTCTGTAGTGCAGAGGCTGCTGAGATAAGCACACTTCCAAAACATTACAGGGCAGCCTGGATCACTGATTGCTTACAGCACGAGCAGCTCTGCAAGTTCTGCACACCTGTTGTGTGCAAAATGAAAGCTGCTCTTCCTTCAATCTCTCAGACTTTTAAGTCAAAAACAAGTAAGTTGCTTAGTAATTGTAACTTTCATCTCTGATTCTGTTATAGATTTGGACTTGTTTGGTTTTGTTGGTGGCTTATTTTTTTCCCCTGTTGTTTGTTTACTCTATAAGTCCAATGCAACGAGCCCAAATGTTCAGCAGCACGGGAAGCCAAGCCAGGCTTTGCTCATGTGCCCCAGCCCTGGCCCTGGCAACAGGCAGGAACATTACTACAACAGAGCTCCTGTTGTCACACAGCTCTGCTCAAGCAGTTTCCATTCAGGTTTCAAGTCTGCACAAGCTAATCACTCACATACATTAAGAACCACTTTGAGTATTTAAATGTATTTTTTTAGTATGGCTTCAGGCTTATTTTTCTGTTAGTTAAACATTTAAAAGGAAAATTCTTCATTAAAAAGCACTATAGGTTTTGAGATAAGCTAGTGCCTGTGAAAAGTGCTAGGTTAGTAACTTTGGAAAGTGCAGTCCTCCAGATAGCCAAAAACATAAGAGCAACAGTGCAGGCACCTCTGACCTGCCTGCAGCAGGGAGGTGCCAGCCCAGGGAACAGGGGGAAGGGTGAACAGCCCCTGGTTTGATTCCCTGCTGGGACAGCACAGGGACACAGTCTGAGCACCTGTCAGTCGCAGCATCACTGCCAGCACCCAGACTGACACACTGGACAGCACAGCTGCCAGCTCCAACAACTCTTTCTGCCTCTTATCAACACAGAACCATCATCCTTGAGGTAGACAAACATATTCCAACACACTTTTCCTGCACCCTTCAGTATCAAATATTTCAAGTAAAAACACCTATTTTCAAGCACTGGAACTAGTGATTTCACTTTTGCCCACAGCATTATCCCTACTGTATCATGTCTGGAATGAGCTCTTTTGTACTACATTTGATGCTCTACATTTTCAAAGCACATCCAAAAGTCAGCTACATAAAGATTACATTAAACCCTAAAATTGAATCATAGTATATGATTGTACATAGTGTGTACATATACATATATGTATATATTATATCTTTATAGTTTTATGGCCAATTTATAAGCCCCTGAGAACAGAGTTTATGCAGAAACACTGGCACCAATAACACTAGAAGATGCAGCTTTATTTAGGTATAATTAGCATAGAAAGCACCTGGAATTATTTATATTTTCTATTTATAATAGTTTAACTCTTTGGATATTTTCATAGCTATATTAAGAATACATTTGTTAATCTTAATATCCGTTGTGGAAAGATTATATTTACATACAAATACACAAAGACTTCATGTGAAAGAGCAAGAAGGAAGAAAAGAAAGTGCCTGCTCTTGTGCCCTTCTTTATATACATGGGTAGTGCCTTTAAATCAATTCATATATAAGTGTGGGTCCCAGCTGTGAATGAAAGTTACAGGTTCTGTTTCATAATGCTTTATGCATCTATAATTTTGACTGAGTATTTAAACAGTTTTTACAGATACATCCTACAGTAATTGTGTCTATGGGCTCAGGCATCCAGCCCTGAGAGAAACACAAAGTCTGTCCCTCCCTGCATTGGTAGAAATCTCCTAGCTGGGGCACATGTTCAGAATTAACTATTTGTACAACTCTGTACTGAAACACACCTGTCCACCCAGCACAGGGGATGATCCCTCAAGGTCCAAGGAGGATCCCTCAAGCCTTCTAGTCTGGCTGGGACCCACCAAAAACCCTTTTACTCCTTCCCTGTTGTAAGGCTTAGACAAGTCATTCAAGTTCATCTTGGTGACAGTAACAGCTTGCTTAAACTGCAAAAGGAGCCCAAACCCAATTCAAAATAGATTCCAACTGTGATTTTGTATCTACCTACAGCTGTCGCTGTCCATAAAAAGTGACTTCAGTTCAAGATACCAACATTACATCACCTGTGAAGGTGTAACTGTCCATTTTTTGGAGTACAGGAGCTTCTTATATTGGCTACATTCTTCACTAAAGTCTCCTAATACAATCTTTGTTTGCAACATACTTTGAAAGACAAACTAAACATGTTTGCAATACTTCAACAGGAAAATGGAATTCTTTCCAGACTGAAAGAATATGAATTTTAATAAGTCAATAATGACAACATTTTTGTAGGTAAGGAGTGCAAATTTGTGTATATTACCTCTGAGAATTTTACACTGCTACCTACAGGGAATTTTTCATAGTCTTCATTTTGATGTGCTTTACCAGTTGAATAGTACATTTTGACCAAGAGTCATAAAGTATATTTGACTGCTGCCTCCTGACTGTACAGATGCAAAGAACACCTTGAAAGGGAAAAAAAAAGAAGAAAAAAAAAAGATGCTACTGTCAGTTTATATTTATGAAAATATTTTTACTCATATAAGAAAGGTGATAGAATGCCACAGTCCCAAATACAAGGTTACACATATATCACAATTGAATTTTAATCCCACAAGAAACTTTTTAAAGTGAAACTGTACATGTGATACAACTGCATTTTTAAAAATGTATTTATCTCCCTATTTGAAAATACATAGGAGAACATTTAAAAATAATTAATCTAAGGTTTTAAGATTTCAGTTTTCTAAATATGACATTGGGACTAAACAGATTTCAGAGAGCGTTTACCAAAATTGCTATATGCAAGAAATCATACCTGATTATCCATACCCTGGTGTCTGCAATTAGGAGTGTTGGGGTTTTTTCCCATGATGACTGCTCTAACTCCTGTAATTTCAGTAGTTCAGGAGATGCAGTCCTGCAGCTGGGAATTTTCAGGGCTCCCTCACTAACTCTCCCCACTACACCTGTGGTGCTGTGCAGTTCACAGTGAAGGCTGGGGGGAATAGAGAGTTCTAACAGCTGGGGGTGGGAATGTGTGCAGCATCCCTAATGAATATCCATAATGGGCGCTTTGTGGGACCAGTGACATCACTGGCTTTGAAGAGGGAACTTACACCAAGGTAGGAAATAACCAGTAACAAAGTTACCAGAATTAACTGGTGTGTCATAGTCAGCTATTACTCATTTTTGCTAAGTCACCACACTGTAGTCATCTCTGTACCTTGTCATTTCTTTCACATAGAAATTTTAGCTTCTGTGCTTTCTTGTGCATAAATACTCCTTCCAGATTTCCTGTTTCCACAGAGCGTAGTTCAATCGCTTTTTCTCCCCAGCCCATGACCTGATTGGACTGAAGGAGGTAAGCTAGAAGATAAAAAAAAAAAAAAAAAAGAAAAGAAAAAAGGTACTGTTTAACAGCTGAAACACTGATTCTTGCCTCATTTATGTTAATTATGGAACTGATTAGTTTGCACAAAAAAAGCCTTAGGAATAGTAACTAAATTTCAGTTTGTCCTCTCAGACTTATTTTGAACTCTAGACATAAACCTTAACTACTACTGTATATCTTAGACTCACAAAAGCTTGGAGGAAAACTCTGAAGGGCATCTTGTTTAACCACTGCCCCCCTCACCCCAAAGTGGGGCCAAAATAGACAAGGTTACTCAGGACCTTGTACCCATATGGTTTGATGGATATTTCACAACCTTTCCAAGACCCTGCTGCAATGCATCACTGCTTTTAAGGCTGAACATTTCTTCCTAATATCTTGGTGCAACTTGTGCCCATCTTTGCCTCTCATCCTTTAACTGTTCATATCCAAGAAAAGCCTTGACTGTCTTCTCTGTACCCACTGTACTCGGTTCCTATTAGGAAGCAGGGTTTGTATTTATTATGGAGTTCAGCTTAGTCTGAAACCTGAATACTTCAGAATCTGAGACCATGGCATGATTAATTTGGTGTCTTCCCATGCCTGGTTATATGCAATATTTCCAAAACCAAAAGAAGATATTCTAGCACTGTGGAAGCTTAGTACAATACTCCCATTAAATCTGGCAATAAGAAACTGGAATAGTGATGAAGGAGTTAAGACCACAGATTTCAAATTAGGCACAGTTTCAGTAAAAGTCCTCTGACTGGTACTTGTATGGGCTTCCAAGGTAAAATCACATTAGTTATGCTCTATTGGTAGTCAATGCTCAGAAATTGTTCTTCTTGCTCAGCTATCAACTGTTACTGCATTAGTCTGAGAATTCTGTTGCTCTAAAATGATGTAGAGGGAATGTGTGCACTGGACTGGCTTTTAGCTTCATTGGACAGTGTATATCTGCCCTACATTATTAGTGTGAGCAAGGTCTGCTTCCTAAAACCTTCCATGCTGATTTAGGTTTTTGTCTAAAAATTGAACTTTCAGTACAGAGTGATACTGGAAACAACAGCCTGCAATCCTGCTTGAGAAGGACAGTAGAAAATAAAGGCAATATGCCCACATGACTTTATATACTTCTAGCAGGGTTGTTTTAACATTAACTTGGAATCCTTGCTTCATAATTGTTGTTAGAACAAATGTATGAAAATCATACCTCCTTGGAAACACATATGGTTTGGTTACAGTGTTGTGATTTTAGTTTCCTCAGAGTCTATAAATTTCCCCTAAATCTGTTCAGAAGACTTTCTGTTATTCTTTGTGCACACTAAAGTCTTCCCTGCCACTAGTGCTCAGAGCAAGATAATTCTTTCCCAGTATTCCAGTCATGAGTAAAGAAGAAGAAATGAACCTGTTTTAAAAGCAAAGCAGCAGTGAGTAACCAAGGGTGAGTGGCAAAAGAGGAGGAGTATTTTCTAAAACTCAAAGCCATGAAATGAATATATTTTACAATCTTTTCTTTATGCTTCAGGCTGTACAACAGGGCACCATTGCTGTAGGCTGTGAAGAAAGTGTCATTAACATTTGTGAACAGTGCAGCAGCAGCAGTATGAGCCCAGGGCAGCACCCATGCAGTCTACAGGATCTGAAAAGTAAGCCCAGACCACACATAAAGAACATCAAAATGATACAAGACTCAAACTTTTGTTATTTTTTGTACCAACTGATATCACATTAACCTTTTCAAAGTTTGCTTTTGAACACAATAGAGACAGAGGCAGCCTTTGGTTCTGGGGGTGGGAAGCAAGGCAGGTGCATGTGTATAAACAGCATGAAACTGTTCTGTGGCTACTCTGTTTAGTATGGGTCATATAGGTCTAGCAACAAAGAACTAATAAGTGTCCTGATCTTTTCCACTAGATGAAATTTACACTCCAGCTGCCACTGTGCTGTGTCTGTATCTGTGCCTTTGGCAGATTTCAATTTGATAGCTTCCCTGCAGCTCCCAGGAACCACTTCATTAGTGTCTGCTGCAACCTCTAGGTCATCTGCTGGGCCACTTCTGCTGTGTTCTGAAGAGATCTGACCTCCAGGCAGTATTCAAAAAGGAACTGAATAAACCAGATACACCAAGTTCAGCCCCGATGCTCTGCTGGCTGGCCAATATACCCAGAACTTGGCAACCGACAATGGCAGGTTTAAGTACAAATAGCCAAAATTTTCAGTTTTGTAGCAGAATCAAAAAATTATTTCCCAAATTTCTTCTGTGAAAGAAGAAGATGGCCTCATTACACTCATTACACCATTTGCACAGTTTTCCAGTAATAATGACTTATCTATACATGGAGATTAATGGGAAGGATAGCAGGCTATCAATTCAGAGGTCAGTACTGAGTCATGATAATCCTCCCACGTGGGAGCTCCTAGAGGTGTTTCATGTGAGATGAACTGAGAGCAGATACTCAGAGTTGTCTTATTTTGGAACAATAGCTCCTATACCACGAGCACCTTGGGAGTAGTTACTCTGAGTCCACTTTCCACTGCAGCTTTAGATAAAAACATCCTGTGCTTCCAGCTGGTATGCTGTAGAGCATTGAGGCATTAATTTAACCACCTATTGGTTACACTCCCTGTTTCTCTACAGAATAGGCTTTTAAAATGTACAGGGAAAAGGAAATAAAGACTTTTACTAGTTCCTCTGGGAATATCTAGATTTGTGTCAACCCTTCATGGCTACATACTATAAATAATTCATTACTCACACAAACAGGCAAGAGTGCTCCCAAATCTTATTAACCTGATGTTTCTTAATATCTTTTTGAAACCTGTTTCATAGAAAATATTACAGCTATATTTATATTTAGCCCTACATATGTGTACATCTTTCAGATTAAACATAGAATACTTCTACACTTTTTTAATTTCCCATGGGATTTGAGCTTCCTCACTCTGATTTCTTATTAACAGATTGGTTACAGAGGTCCCAATTTAAGACTATGAGTAAGATATATTTAGATTCTCTGCCCTAAATCCATCGATTGTAATGCAAACTTTTTAATTTTTTTCTATTAAAATACTCTACCAACTACAAATATTTCTTTCAAAATGCTTGTTTAAAGAAATCAAGAAATGAGCAAAGGATGACTAGAGAGCACCCTGAGGGTAACACAAGACCCCTCTGTCTCTGCAACAGAGAATGAAAATTGAGATATGCTCATACAGACTTCAGGAGGTTTGAAAAGGGCATAGAAATTCCAGGAAAACAGGATCTTTTAAGAAACTGTCAAGTTGCCCCTAAGCTGGGCCATTCAAATAACAGTTATTCACACTTCTCTTATAATGTTTTATCTGCAGCCAAGGATATCAAAGGATTAATAAAATTTATAGGAGTTTGGGGTAAAATTATGAAAATAACAGTTAACAGAGACCTTATCTGAAGTTTGAGTTGTGTATTTAGAGGTTAGGTTAATTTTTAGTGGAAATACAATTTCAATCAGAAGTCAGATTTGGTTTGTACCACATCCCAAAGATGGGCTTTCCCTAAAACTACTCAGATAGAAGTGAAAGGAAAAAGGTGAACATCCTTAATTTTTCACTGTGCTATCCAGTTTCCTCCAAGCTAATAACAGGCTTCTGTGCAGTCTAATTGTCTTGGGCTTGTTTTGTTGGAATGTTTGTTTTAAAATAAAGAACAGGAGTGAGACAGAAATTAGCAAGCAATAAACTCAAAAATCTGCCTGTGTCGTGCTTCATTTTCCCCACTGTTAGCCTGAAGCCCTATGGGAAAGGTGAAACAAACAGCTGTCCTGGCTGCAGTACAAGCAGAATCTCTTCCTACACAGCCAACTGCAAGCATGGGGAGATTAAGAATCTATCACAAATACCCTGGGCTGGCAGCCCTGTGAATTTAAAGTGCTAAAATGAAGGGGCCATTTGACAGCAGTTACAGATCTCTTCAGTAACTGACCCCTCAGTAGCTGTGAATTTCTACATAAAACGCTGTGAGCTATGAACAACCAAAACACTCCTTCCCCTCTGTAATTCACATCATTCTCCCTGTGGAAACTGGTGGTAAGCTGCATCCTCAGTGAAGTCTGTCTGTATAGTCAATGTGTGATGCAACAAACAGTGTGACAAGAATACAGACTGTGTCCAAATGGGAAGCCCCTATTGCAATCATTGGCTGTGTTAACACAAACACCCATAAATCTGTTTACTCTTTTACACATCTGCTTTGCTCAGAAGCTGCTTTATGTGCCATACAACCATTTTCACAGAGATACAAACCTCATAAAGAAGTCAGGCTTCATGCAGCAGCATCTTATATTTAATAGAAAGCAATTTTTCATACATACCTACAGATGCTGGCATTTCTCCCCACTGCAGAACAGTCTCCTTTGTGAAATGCCCATATATATCAATGTAGATGCCTTCATCTTCGTAGGTGAGCAGGAGCTCCATGCCACTGGTGTTTGGGAGGATGATAATGGCATGGGGGCGGATCGTCCCCTGGATCTGGAATCGTATTTTACTGAGATTTATATCAGAACACAGACTGCAATTTCAGTGATGACATCGATTTAACTAGCTTGGCAGAGCAATAAAAAGAACTAGCTCATGGCTCATGGAAAGTGAAAGAAATGCCTGTTCTCAGAGGCTGTATAGTTTGCTAGTAAGCCTCTGAAACAGACTTTCTCTCCTTCTCCCCCCTTTGAATATGACAGCAGGTTTGCAAATAAATCAGTGTTCAATAGTTCACACTAAATTTACCAGTGTTAATTGGTTTCAAGAAGCCATGGAGCCATTGAGACACAATAATATTTACTTAGTCCCTCACAAAATACTTGTTTTATATAAATAGGAGAAAGGTAAAATAAATTTGAATTCACAACTTTTTCAGAAGATGAAGGACAGAAACTTCCACATTCCAGGAGATCAGTGCTTTCACTTTCCATGATATTTCCCTTTCCCCACTCACAAGTTAAAAACCTGCAAATTTAATTGTATTTATCTTGCTCTAAAAAGTTCCCTGGACCTTTTCACTCTGTCTTTCCCTTCCCAGATCTTTCACTACAAATAGCTGCCCAATTGACTGCTGTTGGGCACACCTCTGCATGTCACAGGAACAGTGCATTTCACTCACACGAATCTCTCCCAGAAGCCAACATATCCCAAGCAAAAAAAAACCAAAACCAAAGGTGAAGTATACAACCATGAAGGTGGGGTTTTATGAAAGCATTTTGGAAAGAAAAAGACGACAGCCTTAAAAAAAAGCAAAGCACTTCCTTGTTTAAAGCGCTACTCAAAACAGGATGTTACATAGTACATCAAACCACTACAATTAATATTTTTATAGGAAGCATATGACTGGAGCTTTACATCATTCTCACAAGCCAGCCACACACAGGTATTTTATTTTTTTCCCCTCAAGCACAGACATTTATGCACACTGTAAGGGCACAACGAACAGTAAAAGAAGCACTGAAGCTGTACTTGCCCAACTGAATACACTCAGGCCACCCACTTGACTCCGTGCCTCGGCAAGAACTATCCGTAACACTAGAACGGGGATCCAGAGCCGCAGAGCAATTTTAATGCGCCGCCTCGGGACCCGCATGAGCGACCACAGCAGGTAAGAGATGCAGAAAGAGCTGGGCAACCAGGAAAAGAGGCTACCAGAAAGCAAGAGTATCTCAAGTCAGCCTGTTACAGTCTGGGCTAGTGCCACCACAATGCTCCTGGAGGTAAGCATCCGGTTCTAGCTCTTTTGAAATAATAGAGTATCAAAAAAGATAGAGCTGCTGTAGCAGCTGATTTATTTCAGGTCTAAGGCTCTGAAAGGAAAATATATTTTTAGTCCGTGATAACTTGTGGCTGAAGAGCTCACACAAATGCAGTCAGTCTCAGGTGCCCCACATATTCAGGGCAGTCACCTGGGAAATCTCTCTCATCAGGTACCTAATTGTATTTGCAGCCAGTTGAAAAAGTAAAGCCTCTAAGAAAGTTCACTTTTTTCTTTGCCTTGCTTCTCTTGGGCAATTATGCTAATGATCCTTTTGACAAGTCACTGCTCACCTTGCTCAGCAACCCACTTCCAGAAAGGCACGTGGGTACCACGCTTCAATTTACAAACTGATGGGAATTCATCACAGCTGACTAGTTAACAAAGGTACTGTCAGATGAAATAAATCCTCTAACATGACAAATACTAAGTACCTTAAAGAACCAACACAGAAATAAACAGTACAAGCCTTTAGCAGGTGATTCAACAGTTAGACCAGCTAGAAGTTATTTTTCAATTAAGAGCAGCCTATTAATCTAACAGCCAATGTTACACACTGTGTCCAACAGGAACACAGCTCTGACAGAACGTGGAGGCTGTGGCTTGCAGGGGCAGCAGAGTGATCAAGTGGCTTAGACAGCAGGAGTGGGGTTTTCATTTGGGTTGAAAACGAGGGGCTGAGAGTGGAGAAAAGTTAAAAATAGATGGATTCACAGCACAGGCTGCAACATGCAGATCTAGGATGAGATTTCTTCAGACCTGCCAAGCATAACTTTGGGACACATGGTCTGGGGATGCAAGGAGGCCATGGCACCCCCAGCCCCTGTGGAGCACTGTTGACTTCAGGGAGGGTTCAAGTGTGCACAGAAGTTTCTCTGCCAGGGGCCTCCCATCAGATTGGAGCCAGTCTGGAACCTCCCAGTTTGCTGAACCTAAGCCCCCAAGATTCTCTGGCTTTCGGGACTCACAGCTTTGAAAAGAATAGCTAAAAAATAGGCAAACAAACAAAAGTCCAAAAATAGTAACACCATAGCATAGACTTCATATTGGACAGCCCCATGCCACCTATTCACTTCTGCAGGGCAATTTGCTGTAATCTGACCTGAAGCAGCATTTAGTGCTCTCCATCACCTCAAACAGAAACACAATGCAAAATGTACACATACCCCTGAAATCAACATCTTCATGCTAACTTACTGACAATCTAATGAGAAAGTCCCAAGGAAAATGTAAAAACTTCTTCTGAATTTACAGAGTGGTTTCATGGGCAACTGAATGGCAAGAAGATCAGCAAATTTATTTAGTCTGAAGTTGGTTTCTGCTGTCTGCACAGTGGCAGATTGTAAAAGTCACCTAAATTCATGTAGATATTATTGTGTCTTTGACTGTTTAAGTCCTAAATTTCCAGGATAAATCAATTCAAAATAGTACTGTCCATACATTAGGCTTTCTGACATTAAACCACTAAAATTGATATTCTAAAAGCAATAAAAGCATTTAAACTGGACTTCAGTGTTATAAAACTATATGAAAAGTGGTTTGCATTAGCTGCCACTAATCATTCTTTTGAAAAATAGTACAACTCTTAACCTGATCATCATCAATACACAACCCAAAGAACAAAGGCATTAATGTAGGTTTTTGGATTCTCTTACGTGTGTTGGAAGGTACAAGTCATACACAGATCCAGAGTCCACATCAATGGCATGAAATCCCACCACTGAGCCATATATGACCTTTAGTCTTTGCCCATTTTCAACAGTCAGGTCAACTGACAGTGGTTTGTGATGAAGTGAGGTAAAGGACTGGAAAAAAGAAAAATGCAGTATGTAGCACAATAAAACTGTTGGTTTTCAGAACTACATTTAGGATCCTAAGAATTCTCAAAACTCAGAAGTTAGACAGCTATTTTGGTAAAATAGTAGGTTACATTTAAGGAGCTAAGTATCCATCATCCTCTGAGTTGCATGGACAGTTGGATAATTCATTTGTGGTTTGTAAAAGGAATCAAGATTCTAGAAATGGACTAGGCAGAAAGTAGGCTGACTACCACTGTGTTTAATTTCATCCCCTTTTGAGGGAAATCAACATCAACTTTGTCAATACAAATGCACATTTTGGCACAGCACCTGCTGAGTTTGGCTGGGGTAGAGAGAAACAAGTTATTCACATCTAACACTCATGACTGTGACAGTTTCATGTTTGCCATCTCCAGAGTACATCAAAGGCACTACATTTTCTTTAAAAGAATACTCAGTTTATCTTTAGCTAGAATAAATGTTAGACACAACAACAAAAACAAAAGCAGAGCACAGATGAGAGGAAGTGAGAGACAGTGACACATCTGAACCAAAGTGATGTTTCACTTACCTTAAAAGCCATGAATTTGTGATAAGGCTTTGGAGCCCAAGCATAAACCTCCACTGAGTTTTTCAAGGCAATTACAAGGAATTTGATTCTCTCATATCTTACTGTAATACAAGAAGAACAATTCCTTAGGTACCAGACAGATGTTTAAATCAAAGACCATCTCATCACATGAAATTATTTCAATGGATGACTTGTAGAGGTAGACATTATCCAGAATGGGAGACTAATGCTTTCTGGACATCAATGTTTAATATCACCAGTGACAATACCTTGACTGGAAACCTACAATTCATTTATTTTCAGTAAAGCCAAATGACTGTTACCAACATTTATATATTCCTTGTCATATGGTGATGAAAAAAAATCTCACTATTCAGAGTAAAAGGTCTTGACCCTACAGCTAAACCAACCTCTTGATTTTTTAAGTATGAACATACTCTACTACTACTGGTTATGAATAAGCTACTGTTGGAGGACTGGTGGTTGTTGGCTGAACAATTTTGTCAGACTTGGCAGGATGAATTTTCATGTCACTGCTCATCTGTGGGTTAAATCCCCAGGTGCTGTGTGGGTGAAGGACTCCCCTCTTTCTGAGATGAGTAAGCATTTCAGAGATGAGCAATTTCTCCAAGACAATTAAGGTCATGCTGGGCCTATTGAGAATAAATGAAGAATCATGCATTGAAAATTAAGATTTCTTTGTGCATTGTGTTTTCACAATGGAAAACAGGATTCTATCTCACATAGGCAGAGAACAAGAAAACTCAGCAAACTCCACCAAAATGCAGAACAGTACTTTTCTTTCTTTTCTACCTGGAAAAATTGCTGTACAACCAAAGGTCAAGATACAAGAAGATTCTCCAAGAGAAAAACAGCAGCAGCTGTGCTGTCAAAAACGCAGGAGTGGCTTGTCATATGTAAACACAGAAGCTCCTACCAAATGTTTGCCTAATTTTAGGATAAGTATTTTGTCGTTGTGTTTTTTAAAAATGCACCAAACCCAAGGATGAGCAACTGAAGCAGAATATGTGGGTGCTTAGCTGTAATCACAGTTAAAGTAACAACACACACCTGTTTCATATTCTGCCTTGAGTTTAACCCCTGCCACTTCTAAAGCCAAAAAGCAAAACCGTCAAGCAAAGTATTAATGAGAAGCAGCCACCTCACATTTTCTGCACTCCTCTGTATCATGGCTTTGACTTCGAAGAAAGTGCCACTTTCACACCATCCTTCACCAAAGCAAAACGTGCCATATATCCACCCCCACAGTTAAATGACAGAAATTATCACAATCCTCACATTAACCTTGAAAAAAGCTGCCTGAGAGCCCAAGAAAAGTAAGATGGTACCATTTCCAGGGTGTTTAAACAAAGGTATATTTGGGTCTTTCATGAGAGAAAGGGATGAGCTGATCTACATAAGGTCACCCTACAAATATGATTCACTAGGACTTGAACTAGGTCCAACTCCTTAGCAGTTACCCAGGGCCAAGAGGAAAGATGAGGAGGTGGAAAACATCAGTTCAATTAAAATCCTAAGTAACTACAGAAAAACAGAACCATTGACTGAGCACAGATCACGGCTGGCACTCCCTCCTTCCAGCCATTACAGGAAACAGTCATAACATCATCTGGTAACTGCTGCAAGAAGAAATGCTGCTGAAATGACAGGGAGCAAGGCACCTGCCATGCACAACACGGAGTCTTGAAAGAACTCATGAGATATTCACCCAATACAGTCCTGAAACAAAGCTGAAGAACACTGCTGTCACAAGATGCAAAAGAAGGATGATTAAGCATCTCTCTAAGGAAAACCAGGAAATCCTTACCCACTTTGTAGTGCACACAGCCTTCCAGGTCACCCACGGACACCCAGCCTTGCCGCTTCTCCACCTCAGGATCGTTGCGCAAAATTTTATTTCTCAACCATGACAAGTAATAGACCCTCAACTTATTCTTCTTCCCTGGGATTTGCAAGAAGAGACAGAACACTTTAAGTCCCTCAAGTAGAAACTCTCCCCCACTTACAAAAAGCTAGAGTTTTGTGACCTTGAGTACAGTGGGTCCTTGTGCCTTGCCAAGGTGAGAGAACATAGCAAGGGCATGAAAGGAGTGATGGGGACACACAGGGGGGACTGGCACAGGAGCAATTCTGTGGCACTGGGCACATGTGCACTTCCCTTGTGACTCAAACTTCATGCAAGATTTTCACACCTGACTAAAATTCCTCCCTCAGGCCAAAGAACAGTTTTCTACAGACACAAGTGTTATCAGAAACCATCACACTAACTGTTTATCCTGGAACACAGGCATGTCCTGCAATGGCCACTTTGAATAAGCTATTGATGTAGTTCCAATTAACTGTCCATCTTCATTCAAAGTAGCTATTTCACTTCTGGATGCCTTTACACTTGAGAATTATTTTGTCATCCTTCATGTCAATCACTCTTTTTGTTGTATTAGTTCACAAGCAGCCTATGGTCAACAGCACCCTGGGACCACAGATTACTCTGAAGAGAAGGACTATGTCATGTCCCAGCAACAAGAGGACCTGGCAGTATGGGACAATCAGCTGTTGGCACTGCCCACCATGATGAGTCTGGATTGGAGACAAGCTGCTACTCCCTGTTGGACCCACACCTCTGACCTCAGTATGTCTTGTGCATCCTTTGAGGCCACTCAGCCATGGGGAATAAGGCCAGAGTCGAAACTGTTTCCCAGCAGAAGTTGAAAACCTCCACTTAATGTTATTGATGCTTACACAATACAGATCCCTCTCATGTTACTGCTCATACCTCTTGTTGAACACAGGAGGAGGTTATATCATGATAAAGTTAATAGAACTGCACTTAGATAGATGCTCACCCATCGCAGAAACCAGAAAAGTGACAAACTACAGCTTGCAGAGAATCAGCCCATTTAAGGAATATGAAACACTCTGTACTTCCCACAAACCATTTTACACATTAACCAGGCAATGAATTGTCCCAAAGCCTCTCTGGAATGGGAGTATAAATGTTAAAAATTCAGCAGAGTTTTCCTATTAACAAGAATAACTGTCCTGTGATTTTCTGAAAGAGGAAATTCCTCAACCTAGTTTATAACCTAATTCTTCTTTTTAATTGCCTCCAAGCCCAACGTGGGTCAGATACTTTTAGCCACTGAACCAACCTGATATAGTAATTAGCACATTGAGTCCTTCCAGAACATCCATTTGCTGGAACCGTCTCCTCGTAATCAGCGTATAAACTCTTCCTTGCCCACTTCTGTCCAGCAGCCACAATCCATTCTCTGTTCCCACCAATAAATTTACCCCTGTCAATACATGAAAAAAAAACAAAACTGCATAAGTCACCTAACGATTCAGAGGTCACTGAGTGTTCATTGTTTTGAGAACCAATTTTTTATTTAATCTCACTTAATGGAACCTGATAATTTCCCTGTTGCTCTGTGGATGACTTCCCAGAAGAAAAAGGATCTCACTATTAGAATTTTTACTCAACAGAACAGCTGTATACCTATGGAACTTGAAGGATTAGTAGCTCTGCTGAAGTCAATGTTGATTTAAACAAAAAAGAAAATATTCTGTGAATGTGAACTTCTCAAGTGACCTTGGAAAGTACCTGTGACCAATACAAAAATCCCAGTCCAGCACCATTACAGTAGTGACACAGGAGACCCAACTAAGTGTTCCAAGGGTCCCTATTGACTACAACAAAAATAAAAATAAAAACAACCAAAAAATTCCCCCCAAACTCTCTTTTTCCAAATACAACATTCAAATAATGGGGACACCAAACTTGTGGGAAGAAGCACTGTGTTACAAGGACGTGCAGGGTCTGTTTGAAAACAGTCTCTGGTTTGGAAAATGCCTTCAAATGCCAAATTAAGGAGTGAATCCATCTGAAATCCAACTGCTGCTAAGGAAGACAAGGCTCTATTGGGTTAGTGACATCAGAGAATGTCAGATATTGTGTTTGGCTGGAAATATATCTATGTTTCTAATCAGAAGATTCTAAAGACACAACATAAGGTATCCTGCTGTAACAAGCATCCTCCTCCACTCTGACAAGTACCTGGTGCTCTTCAGCCTCAATGCACATTTAATTACACACCTTACCACACAGCTCTATTCTTAATTTAAAATTTTGGATTCCTACAAACCCACATTATGCAAAATCTGTGAAACTATAAACTGGAAATCTACATTTGCTTTGGATAAGATTCCATCTACTTCATTCACTTGCTATTCCAGGCTCAGAAAGTGAGGAGAAAAAGGCTTGGTGAGTCCCATAGAATACATCTGTTCTTCTGAAGCAGAAAGATAGTTTAAACAACTCAAGAGTTTGGGTAATGTATGACTGGGACAAGGTCTACAGCTGCTGAGAGTGACCTGATCCTGTATCTTGGTTTTACACCATGTGAAGCTGACCCTGTAAAAAGCATGTAAGTTTAAACAATGGTTCAGTGATGTTCCATAATAACAGAATAAGCAGATACAGCAGGAACTGAGCAAGACAAGCCTTTGGAAAGACCTGACCTGCTTTGGATCCTTGGAATATCTAACACATGTGACAGCAAAAGGTTTCATGTTTGGATTATATCCTCTGGGTCAGGGCTCTGTGATCAGCTGTACCCTGGCACAGCTCAAGATGAGTCTCATGAGCCACAAAAGCTGCTGAAGCATTTGCAACTTTTGGCTCTCCCAAGAGCATGGTTTCTTGGGAGAAACTTGGCGCTTGATCAAAACATTTTCTCATTCTGATGCACAAAGTCCTTTGCATCTGTATTTCATGTGTTTGGCACCTCACCCCTGGGAAGGCAGGGCCATGTAAGTGACACAGCTATCAGCTCAGGGATCCTCTCCAGCACTCTCTGCCAGGAGAGCAGCAGTGCAACTGTGAAATCTGCCTAGCAGACACTGCCAGCCACCCCTGCTGTGCCTTCCCTCCACACATCTGCCCAAGGACTCCAGCTTACCCCACAGAGCAGCACACAGAACCTCGGAGTTGAATTTCTTCTTGTATTTACGGATTTCTGGGCTGTCACTTTGTGGGCGGATATTGGTGGGATTGACATTGACAACGGAGCCCTTCCTTGCATTTTCCCTCCTGACAGGCTCAGGTTTGGCACTAGATGCTGCAATGAAAGACACACAATTGTGGAAAATGTGAATGTTTGGTTACAGCTCGTATCTGAGCCACCTTGTTCATGGTAGAACAAAAGAAACCCCAGAGGGGTGAGAGAACACCCTGAGAGCTTTGTATAGCAAAAAAAAAAAAATCTGGAAAATTCTTCAGGCATTCCTGAGAAGGCAAGGTGGTAACACAGCAGCAGAGCACAGCAAACCACATCTGAAAGAAGGGCTGAAGCAGTACAATGAAAATTCACAGTAATGTGAAGTTCTAGTTTCAGAAGACTACTCAGAGTTTTCATTTCTAAGCAATAAGCCCTTGCCAAAAAAAAAAATCAAACCCCAAAAAAACAACCAAAAAAACCAACAAAAAAACCCCCAAAAAACCTAGGAGGAACATTTTACATTTTAATGCAAAGGCAAAGCATACTCACGAGAGCTACAGGAAGGTCCTACTGGACTGGTGGGAGGGGTTATTGGCAGCAGTCTTGGATCTATGAATGATGTGAAGGATGTTGTGGAGGATGTGCTGCTCTTGGCAGGTGGGCTTTCAGCACATGGGCTCTGCAATGAGAAACAGGAGCTGCCTCAGGTGGGCAGTGCTCAGGGCACACACCCTGTGCTGCTCTGACAGAGCTGTTACCTGCCTCAAGTGACCCCTCTCCTCACAGGCCCATGCTCACAGCAGTGTCAGAGCCCTCTGTGGCTGTCCTGTGCACTCTCACATGATGCTTGGGTGGGAGAAAGCCAGGGGCAATGAGCAGAGGCACACCAGAATGCTGCCATTGCAAGGAGCAGAAGGTGTGAGTCCTCTAGCTCATGCAAAAGGGGAGAAAAAACAGAGCAAGGAAAGAAAGAGAGCAGAGAAGGAGATGGGGGAAAATAAGTGGAACAATGAAATCTGTTAGGCAGCTCCAGATTTCTTATCCTCCTCCCAGATAAAACTTTTAAAGAAAAGAAGAGATGTAGTGAAAAAACTCATTGTAAAAAGAGACAGGATAGAGGAACTTTAAAAGGCTGAAGCTCAATTCAGGCAATCTGTAATTTATCTCTTACCTTAGTCAGAGGTTTGTTCTGAGGTTCCTGGCAAGTCAGTGGCACTTGTGGCGGGTTCACAGAGGAGTCTGTAATTTGGCTTTGCTGGAGGAGATCTGGCAGGAGATAGTTCTGGTTGTTTATGCTCCAAAGGCCTTCTTGAGTGTTTGGAATTTGTTTCCCTAAAATCTGATCCTGCATGAGAACATGCAGATAAACACCACATTTAGTTTATTTCCAATGCACTCTGCAACTCCAGTTAATTGGGATGATAAATAATGAGCACATAGAGAGAAGAGTGCTCTCCCTTGATGCATCATTTAAAGACAAACCCTATGGCAGGATTAAAATCAAAAATTAAACACCAAACTGTATGGCAAACATCCGAGATGACAAATCTGGGGTTTACTCCTGAAGAACTCCACAAATATTCTTCATCTACATCACCTCAAGCACAGAAAAAGAAGGAACTTCAGCCTCAGAGATACCAAGTCAAATGATTTACTAACGAGTTTCAGACTTGACCTTGGCATACTGCAGACAGAAGAAGGCACTTGGTTCTGGACCTGCATTTAGTTTGAAGCCCTGCACCATTAATTTCATTGCCACTTTCCATTTACTGAATTAGAAACCATACTCCAGAAAGAGGACATTTAGTAGGACCCAGCATCAGCATTTGCAGTTTAGTGACATTTGGTTCTGCAGACTGCCTTACAGCTTCCCATGGAAATACTTGTGAACTTTGTGAGGTACCACACAAACTTTCCCTGACAGCACTGTCTATGGAGTCAGAGGTAGGTTTCTGGGAATATATTTTATGTTTTAATTTAGATGTAAAAACTGAAACCAAAATATGCAAGTCAGTATTTGAGATTGAGGAACCAAGCCAGTGGGGTTTTTAGTTCTGTTTTCAGTCACATTCAACTGAACAAAACCAAACCAAATCCGCATCTGAATCACTGGGGCAGTTTGGTACACCCTAACCACTTCAAAGCTGCTCAGGCTGATGGGACAAGGAAAGAAATGCTGGAGATGATGTGGAGACTCATGGTGGCTGTAGCTGGTGGGTGAAAAAGAGCTCAGAGGAAGGGATGGGAGGCTCCATGAGAAGGGGGGAAAAGACTAGAAGGCAGCAGAGAAATTTATGAGGTGTCAGCCATCTGCCTGTTCTCCCTGTTCTCCCTCCCACACTCTTTCCTCCAAATCCACTAAAACACATAACCTCAACTCTTTATCATCCTCCCTCATCCTCAGGGTGGGCCTCAAAGACCCCAGCGTTCTCCCTTCCCTCAAGCAGCCTGGGTATCAGGGGAAAGTGGAAACACCGGGCTGGCTTTGCCACAAGAGAAATACTGATTTATGCCCCATTTATACTTCTCTCTCCAAAGCAGAGTCCTTTCTCCTTGAAGATGGTGGGACAAAGGCCAAGTGGAACTCCCTCCCCAGGCAGGAGGGTCACCACTCTGGTCTGAAGTTTAGAGACACCAGAGGTAAAGAGAACTCCTTTTTCTTTCTACCCTGCCACAGCTCTGGAGAAATCACCAGTTTCACAGTGATTTATTTTCCCTATCTGTGAAGCAAGAATACACTCAGTAATATCTAAAAAGAACCTTGACACCAAGTACAAGTCTTATTACTGTAATTTTTTTCTTGTTTTCAACCACAAAGAACATTGTTCTGCTTTGTCTCTCTTCATCTTTTCTGCGCTGATATTTATCACAGGGGAAAATCCACATGACTGGAAGCCTCTACTAGAAACTACAGCTGGAAGGAACCACAACATGACATATGAGAACACAAGAATTTTTGCTAAGCCAGTTGGGAGAGATAAAGTGGTTTTCCCCTGCTCTGGTAATATTTTAAGCAGTAGGAGGTAGTTCACTTTAAACTGGAATAAAAAGAAGTCAAGATTTTTTAAAAGTAGCAACAATGCACACCAACAATAATAACAGTGCTTTTTGCCCAGTGCCATCACAAAATACCTTGACATCAGAAACTACTACAGGTCAATAAGAAGGACAAATGAAGGACTGCGATTCTGTACCTAAATGTAAGCATTTCTACAGGAAGCACAAAACCTGAAACTACACTTTTTTTTTCAAGGCTTATAGCTATAATTTGCAATGACTGAGCAGGACTTCAGAGTGAGAATGCTCCCAAGAAGTAATGGATATGGCATTTATCATGCACATTAATGACCTGACTCCCCCTCACTGTACCCACCCCCCACCCCCTTACAAATGGCCAAATTACCTTCTGTTCTGCCACGGTGCTTTGGGGTTTCAGTTCAATTCCATCTGGTACCCTCGTCCTTGAGAAATCTGCAATTCTGCCGCTTAGCAGTTGCCTGGTAACAAACTCCAATTAATGAACAGAACTACTTCAGAGGGGGGAAAAAAAGGCAAAAAAAAAAGGAAAAAAACTACACATAACCATGTTCAAAAGTGAACATAATTAACATTCAATAGTTACACTCAAATGTTCTTGTACAAAAGCAAGCTGATTAGTCCGTGGATCTGCCTGAATGGGCTTGTGCCTGAGGACCACTCACACACAGCAGGAAGCTCTCCCCACCTTGACAGAGAGCATCCCTTCATCTCCCTGCACTTCATTCATCATCTTTCAGACACTGCATAGCTCAGGCAAGTCCCTCAAGCTGTCATTTGGGAAGTGCCTACTTCAAACCTTCTGTCTCCTGTCACACATTCCCCTGTGGGGTGTAATTATGAGCCACCCTGCTCTCCACAGAGAGCAGCAGCTGCCCTGCCATGTGCTGCTGTCAGGGACCTCTCTGCCAGTGCCTGCTGGGACAGGCTACACTGAAATTTCATCCTGTGAATCAGTCTCTGAAACATGGACCTCCTCACCTTAAAAGGAAACACAGAAAGTGTTGCCCAGTGCACAGAGAGACAGAAAAAAGAAAGAGCTGCTGGACTGGCTGGGGCCAAGAGTCCCCCTAGCCCAGCATCCTGTCCTCAACAGTGATCAAAAGCTGATAGCAAAAGCAAGAGTGAGAACAAGGCAAGTGTCTGTTGTGAATTCCCAGTACATCACTGCTTCCTGCACTGCCTGAGGTATCTTTGCATTTAAAACTTTTTCACCCAAGTGGAACGGCTTCAAACATGTCTTGGCCCCATTTCTGCACACTTCCACCTCAAATGATTTATTTATCCCATTTATTTATTTATACTCATATCTTTTTTACTGCAATCCATTTAAGCCTATTACATTTTTGCCTCCTTTCCAGTAATTATAAAACTGTCTGGATTCAGCCAGTGTGAAGGGTTCTGCAGTACTATGTGCCAACTGGTAGTAGACTGAAATGTATTTTTTTTCTTTTAAATGAGTCCCCATGTGATAACAAAGAAGGTTTGGTGAGAAATCTACTGATTTCAGATGGGTGTGTAGGAGTAGAAGTTTTTGTGGGATTTTTTTGTTGTTTATTTTTTCGTTTTGGATTCTCTCCCCATTCTATGTGAGTGGGTAAATATTTGCATACTAAACTTAGAAGGAATGACAAGATGTGGATTAGGATCAATGGTGAATGCCAGGACTTGTTCTTATTAGGGAAGCAAACAGCAGCTGATCTTAAATAATGTCAACCTCCAACTTAGGAGAGGGAGACAGTAATTCCTAGGAAGCACACACCTGCATCCACATTGTCCAAATGCTGGTAGGAAACAGCAATCAAAGAGCACAGAGAGGAAACTGAACTATACAAATGAGTCCCAGGATACTCAGTGTTTTAGGGGCATACTGCAGGCACTGGAGGAGGAAGCACTCCATAAAGTAGGAGAAATTAATATCAGTGGAATAGATGTGCTAAACAGGGAGGTAAGACACTGGATCCTATAAACTGACACTCTTTCCTCAAAAACAAAAAACTGGAGTGTGTGAGGAAGAATTCTGGCTCATCTCACTGCAAAGAAAAACAAGACCAGAAGTTGCTTTACTGGTGAAACACAGCAGCCCTTAGTCCAGCATGCTCAGAAAGGAGCCTTCTCAGGGTGGTTACCAGGATTCATCCAAGAACATAAGAAACTCCTTCTCTTGCAGATGTCCCAGATGTAGCCCTACTGGGCACCTCCAGGAAAGCTGGAGTGTGGACATCAGGTGCTGTGCCACAGCCCAGGCAAGAACAGGAAATCACAGGAAATCACTCGTTTCAGCAGCCCACTAAAACTTGGCCCAAGGTGCTTCAGGCAGAGCCCCCTCAGAAACACTCCAGAGTGCAAGGGGCTTCAGATCCTACATGCCTTAGAGAGAAAAATACCCCCAAACCCTTCAGTTCAGCCAGAATATGCAGTTTCAACACTGGCTGCTCCTTTCAGTCAGATCACTATCCTATTTGCTATTTACTTGGCAGTGGTTGTGTGCACAGGAAGGTAAACGTGACAAGGAGCATCCTAACTGCACCTCTCCAGAGGATGGGTGGATCTCAGACACAGAGGAGATGCAAATAACAAATGCAGAGTTCCAAAGGCAGTGATACCACTCCTTCAAATCATACAGCATGCAAGGATCACAGCAATCTGACACTTACACAGCAAAGTCATTGCTACAGGGCAAATCCATATTTTTATGTAGAGTCTTTCTGAGGTCTAGGATGAATTCTATGACCTAGAGTGAATAAAACTTTTTACAGATCAGAATAAGGTGGTTTAGAAGAGGATCAGTAGGAAAACAAAGGCATTACAGTGAAAGTCAGCTCTTTCAGGTGCACTGAATAAGCTACAAGATTTTTAACTATCTTTTTCCTCATCTCAGCCTTGAAAATGAACTTCAGAAATGCAAATGAGCAGCATATGCAGGCACAAAAATTCTACCTCTTCAGAACAGCAGAGGGGAAATGAGTGGTACCAGCCCAACACAATAACCTGCCAACAATGCTCCAAATCTGGGCATCTCTGCCTGACACCTGACAAAATTGCATCTGTAATTCTGTCAGAAGAGCAAGAGCTCCATCCCAGAGAGCTCTGTGGCCCTGGGATGCACTTCAAAGTAAATCCTAAAAGCTGAATTAAACTGGAGTCTCTTTGTAAGAAAATCAGAAGTTTCATTCACCAATGCTAAAAAATGTTTGTTTGCTGTTCCTGACCCCCTGACTCCCTTCTCTTGGAGCAGCAAGCTATTCTTGCTCCACTATTTCTCAGTAGAATACACATTTTACATGGCAGGTAGAACAACACAAGATGGCAGTCACAAAACCAGCAAGATAAACTGGAAAGCTACAGAGACACAGTTCAGGTGGGATCAGCTGTGGGACAAGCCACAGCATCAGCTGGAAAGCACAGCAGATGCAGAATGTCAGTATTAAAAATACAGCACATTTTACAAAACCATCTCTCCTTTTCATGAACAGCCCTGGTGAAGAAATCAACTTTTCAGTGGCAATTATTTCTCCCAGAGTGAAAAGACTGTGTGATCTCAAGGGTCATGTTTGCCTTGTTTTCTCCAGTTTAACCTGTATTTGTCATGAAGGCATACAGTTTTTACATTTTTGTCTCCCTCTCCGTTTTCTTTCAAAAATTCCATATAAATGTAGATCAATGTGAACTAATCCCTATAAAAGCATTGCCCAGCATATCCAGTTAAAACAAGACATTTCCTCATTGTCCCAGGGCAGTAAGTCATCAAGTATATTATTACCCTGTACACATCTGATGGAGCAAACATTTACCCCCAGGAGTTCATTAAAATGCAATTAAATTGCTTAATTACAACTGACACAAATGAGTGATAGCAACTTCAAAGGAGGGGGAGTATTTAGGCATGCCAGCTTTTCCTAGATATTTAGAATTGTGTAATGAGAATAACATTATTAATAATAATAATAATAACAACAATCAAGCCAACCTTGTGTGGTTTGTGTCATCTTCCTCACTGCTGCTGCTGCTGCTGCCTTCATCACTTGAGGAGGAATAGTCTGCTGCTTTTAACAAGGAGTTGGCACTGTCCTTCACCTTGGCAAAGGAGCCTGGACTCTGAGCAAAGAAAACTCAGCTGAAGAACCCACTGTTAAACAGCACCTGCTGTATTTTACTGTCCCAGCATACAGAGTTATGGTCACTTCCACCCCAAAAAAAGCTTTACTAGGAAGCTGATCTGGTTCTGTTGGTCCATACAGGTGGGCATCTCACACAGGAAAGTGACTTGAGCCAAAACTGGACACTGCTGAGGACCTGAGCTGGACACAAGTCAGACCTGGACTGAAAGCACTGACGCAGCCTCATACATCCCTCAGGCTGACTCATGAGTGACAGCAAACTCACACACCAAAACAGAGCTGTCTGCACAGACAGACCCCTCAGTGAAAACGATGGACAAATTAAAAGTATCAGCAGATTTAAAAGAACCTACTGCAATCTGGCCTGGATGAGAAACTTTTTCAGGCTTCTGATGCAGCTGCACGTGGTTCTGGGACAAAACATTCTCTGCCTTGGCCAGTCCTGGATTCCCTGGGGGTAAAAAACCACAAAAGTTTCTTTTTTTAAGTGTATATGCAGCAGGTGAGAGAGCAAGACAAGCACACAGAGCTAGGACCCAAAGCAGATACCAGTCTCTGCTGACAAACTTCTCTTTTCTCTTTGTTGCAAAGGAAAATCTCATTGCTTGTTTCCCAGTGGTTCTAGAAGCTGCAATATTACATACATAAATTGATACTGGTGCACTTTCATGCAGCAAGAGTAAGACAAGCAAACCAAACCCTTGGCAACACACTCCCACTGCACATCAGCCAGAGCTCCATGGAAAGGGAGCAAGGGAAAAGGTGAGGGCATCCTAATACCTTCCTTCAAGCCTTCAAGGGATGCTCTGCACACAAGCCATTGTCCCCTCATCCTGCCCTGGGACACCCTGGCCAGCTCAACACTTGCCTTTTTCAGCAGCTTCTCCCATGACTACCCCACTGTTACCAACAGGACTCCCTGTGAGTTAAGGGGGGAGAATTCAAGCTCACACAAATTAGGATTTACATTTGGTAATTTAGTTTTGTCACAATGGTTTCATGTCTTCATCCATTTTGCAAAGCTTTCAAAACTCACAATTCCTTACTGGTCAATAAGCAACTAAGCAACTCAGCAGAACTATTAGCTTTAAAGTATTTATAGCCCTTTCCTCCAATTCATTATCCCTGTGGGTTTGGGAAAGCAACAAACTCCATCTGAAATGCCATATGCCAGAACTAGCTGTAATTTAATGACACTTAAGAACTCAAGGAGACAGTTTAAACCACAAGGGAGGTTTTCTATTCTTTCCATTTCTGTTGAGATTTTTGTTTCTCCATGCCAAAATAGCACAGGAGTTACACATCACATGGACTCTGCAAAGTTGAGCTGGGCTGTTGCATGTTGTTCAACTCTGTTATTCAAACACAAAATGACATAAGAGCAAAAAGAAACAAAACCCAAGCAATTTAAAATGTGATTTGGATTTCTCTCGAAGAAAAGCTTCCTATTCTGTGTAGATGGTAAAAGCAAAGCTGGCTTGATTGTGTAAGAGTAATAAATAAGCAATTTGTTCTCATTTATCAAGGGCTTTTAAATTAACAATGTAAACCTCAATATAAAAATAAATGACCTCATAAGATCACTGGGGTGGTTTCAGAACATTTTTTGCATCCACCCCGCTTTGACTTGGATTCCCCATGTTCCCAGTCTTTAGTGGCCAACCTGGATGTAAGGCCTAGTGGCACACCAGAGCTCTGTGAGGGGCTGCGCAAGAACTGCCCTGCAGCTGACCCACAGCAAACACCCATGGGAGTAGCAGGAGAGAAAAAAAGCTGTCCATTTCTCCACATCCCCATCTGCCAGAACCTCAGCAACCAGAATCTGTACTGCAAAACACCTCACAACCACTGCAAGCTGCTGCATTCCTACACCACTTCCTGACAGCAAAGGAGATTACTAAGCTGTAGTTTGCCTAAATCAGATGGTTTTATCTTCCTTTTAACTTCTAATGCCCTTTTTTTTTTTTCAATTCCACTATCTTTCTGCACATAAAAGAATACTGGAGAAATATTTCATAATGTGCTGTAGAGAGATTTATGCTTTATGTTCCTTTTGCCAGTACATTATTAAAGTGCAGAAATATTAGTGTACATCAACTGCTCAAGTGTATCATCTTATCAGTGGGCAGTGCAAAGAGCAGAATTTGCCAATGAGTGAGTATCAGTATTGAATCACATCTGTATTTCTGGAATGTTGGCTCTGCTGAGTTTCAATTGTGTCACTAACTGCAACAGAAATTATTTTTTCCAATTCTTAATTGAGGCAATTCAAATTTTCCATATGAAAATATATTCACAGTCACTTTTCTAACTCAGAAGAGGAGATACTTATATTTTAGGGACATGGGACCATAAAATCCAGAGGGCCTTCAAAAGCCTCTCACCAGAGGATGTGATTAAAAGGACATATCCCATTTGCAATGCAGAACTTGACACCCTGCAGAAGACCATTTCATGTCACAGGAGTTTAGCACATTCTGACTGACGGATTTTTGACTTAGGAATCACCTGAGGTTGACCAGCTGCTCTGATGAGATCCCATCTCCCACTGCTTGGTGCCAGGAGTGCTGCTGCTACTGTTCAGCTTCAGAGCATGTCCCCCAGGGGATGACTGATGAGTGTTACTGAGCAGAAAGACAAAAAGCAGATGAGACTCTCGTGTGCTGGAACAGAGACTGGAACAGAGCTCCTGCTGTTACAGTACAAGGTCATACTCTGGATAACTAAACTTCATTGCTGCTCCAAGCAGGGCCACCCAGGAGTGAGAGGAGATGATGGAGGGGACAGTTTCCTCTGGGCAGTCATCCTGGGAGACTACAGAGATTTCCAAGTCATTACAAAATATCCTACATTACATCTCCCTTGGAATCTTCAGAGGCAAATGTCAGTCCTGATTCCAAAATCTCATGGCTTTACAACTCAAGAGAACTGCTCCACTACCTTCCTAGAAGATACATCAGCAGTCACTTATCAGTGGAGAAAGAAATGCATTGGACAGTAAAATAAACTGCGAAGCCAGTGGCTCAACCAGAAACCCAGTCCCAGAAGTCACTCATTTGTAACACTGACAATTACTTAAACATTTCTTTTCTGCTTTCCCTCCTGTAATTCCCAAGTGGGGAACACTTAGGGCTTGATTTCACTTGAAAGTTATTTCAGACGATGTTTCTGACTCTGACTCATCAGAAATTCTGCACATCACTTTGTTATTTCAGCTAAATCTACTTCACTTTCCAGTCTCTCCAACCCATTCTGTTCCCTGATTAGACATCCAGTGGGGGCTGCCCTTTACTGCTGAGCTCTAGACATCCTTGGTCTTTTCTCCTGGGATATGAAAAAAGTACACCAGCCTTAAGGGAAGACTGCCAAAAATGTCACAATACATCTACAAGCTGCCTGTTCAAGCTACTATCAGGCAAAACAAGCAGCACAAGCTGTAATTAAAAGTGTCTGTAGAAGGACTTGAGGTCAGACCCCCCTCACCAAACCCAGACACCTGACTGTCCTTTGAAACCAATGCCACTGAGGTAGAGCATCTGCCAGACACTTCAATTTTCCTACTGACAATAAAACAGCATTAAAAAATTACTTTAAGCATAGAACACAGTATAAGCACAGTGCATGTCTATAAAATATACAGTGTAAATTTAGTTTAGAATAAGCATAAAACACTGTAGAGCTTACCTTGAAAGGCATCTCTGATGGCCAGGCTGATCCCTGCTGTAAAATTTTGAGGTTGTCCTTTCTGGAACCTTAAGGATTTAATCAAACATTTCAAGGTTGCTATTGATATTTTAATAAATAAACCAAGTCAATAAACCTTGATAATTCTTATCCTGTATCAATGAAAAAATAAGACTAACCAACAGAAATGAACAATAGTTCAGTGGAACCTGTGGGGAGGTATTCCATGATATCAGCACTGGAAGCTGCAAGTCAGCAGCAGGTGCTTCCAGTTTCCTCTCAGCCAGTGCAGTCTATCAGGGTGCAGACAGAAAGAGGTTTGCACCTTTCCTCAGAGTCAGTATCATTCCTGGTCAATATTTAAAGCAGACAGTGAAAGGCACCTGCAGTCACCAAATGCAGCTTTCCCCAGCTGGTGGATTACCTCATGTTGTTACCACAGGCTGGGGAATGAGACACACACACCCACCCTCAACTGCAAAGTAATAAAATAAATACACACATGGGCATATGACTTCCTGCTCAAATAGTCTTGGACTTGCTCTTAGAAATTCTGTTAGAAAGAGAAACACACCATCACCTCAATTACACAAGCTAACAAGCTTTTCCACAACAAGCCAGACCTTTTCACCAAACAGGCTGCTACAAATACCTGGTCTAACAAAAGAGGTGTGTCTGCAATTACAGATCCTGCAGATATAATATGTGTGCAGATATTATACACTGTGTTGATTTGACATGGCCTGATTGTTTGGTAGCTGGGAGGCCACAGAAGTGCCTTCTGTGAGAAGCTGCTGGAAGCTTCCACCGTGTCTGACAGAGCCAATCTCTGATGGCTCTGGAGATGGACACGCTGCTGGCCCAATTAGAGAGGTTGGTAACCCCTCTGTGGTGACATATTTAAGAAGAAAATCCAAACAGCACTGGCAGTTTTTCCCCAGAGCTGGTGAGGTGCCCCTCCCAGGGCCGTCCCAGCACAGCCCCGGCGCTGTGTGATCTGTGCCACCACAGCTGCCGCCATCTCGGTGTGGCCTGCAGCAAGCCTGGCCTGTATGGCTGCCCCAGCCAGCCCTGCTGAGGGCAGGAGAGCAGGGCCGGCAGCAGCTTCTCCTGCCCGGGGCCCTCACCAAGAGAGGCTTCAAACAATGCCAGGGCCGCCATTGCCCACACAATGGCAGCAGGGCTGGCAGCGGCTTCTCCTGCCCTGGGCCCTCACCAAGAGAGGCCTCAAACAACGCCAGGGCCGCCATTGCCCACACAATGGCAGCAAGGCTGCCTGGTCAGCTGTGAAAACATGGTGGGTGAACCTGTGAACTTAAATCTAAGCCTGACACTGAACCTGAACAAGATCAACCTCTCGGGGCTGCAGGGTCCTGTAGGAATTGTTGAATTGGAGGAACTTGTTGGCAATGGTACCTATGGGCAACAGTTTTACTTCTAGTCAGAGAAGAGGAGGAAGTGAGGACAACATGGTGGCACCAAGGTCCATGGAAAAAGAGGGGGAGCAGGTGCAAGCACTGCACATGAGATTCCTCTGCATGGGGAACATGGTTAAACAAACTGTCCCTCTGTAATGCATGAAGTCCAGGGGGGAAGTAGAGATCCCCTCACAGCCCATGGGAAAAGTGCTCACACCAGAGTGGGTGGATGCCAGAGAAAGCTGTGATCCAGTGACAGACCCGAGTGGAGAGAGAGGGCCCCTGCTTCTAGAGACAGAGAGAGAGGGCCCTTGCTTCCAAACTAGAGCATCCTATCCTTAGAGGATGGCACCCTGTGGAGGGGTGACCCATGCCACATCCCTCCCATGTTTACCTGTGGGAGGGACCCCACAGCACAGCAGAGGAAAGACTCCTCTCCCAGAGCAAACAGAAGATCTCAAGTGATGAACTGACCAAATCTCCACACCCTGTCTCATTGCATTGTTGATGGAAAGAAGGGAGGGGCTGAGGGGAAAAAAGGTGTTTTAAAGGCTTATTTTACTTCTCATTATCCTCCTCTGACTCTGTTATAATAAATTTACTTTATACCTTTAAATCTGAACCTGTTTTGCCCTTAGAGTGTCTTCTCCCAGTCCTCATCTCAACTCATGAGCCCTTTGTTAATTCTTTTCCCTCTCCTCTGCTCAGCTGAAAGCAAAAGAAGGTGAATGAATGGCTTTCGTGGGTGCCTGGCATTTGGCCAATGTCAAACCACGACATACACATACACATAAACCCACACCACCAACCTCCCTGTAAATTTGCATCTTTCTTTCTAGATTAGTGTGATCCAGTTTATACACAAGCAATGAGATTTTCAGAGTTTTATGAAGTGCAGAGGGTGGATACTACACAGTGCAGTGCAATCAACCCCCAATACAAACACCCCGAGTTTTACCCACCTTTGGGGGCTGCTCTTTGCTGTGGCTCATGCTCCAGAACACCTCGTCCTGCCCAGGGCTGAGTGGAGCTGTCACCATGTCTGACAGGGAGCTGCTGTGGTACACGTCCTTACTAGCCCGGAAATTCTCACACTTGAAATAAACAAAACATGTGGTGGTGAATTGCACTTCCCTGCCTACCTAACAGGCTGCAGTCTCAACAGAGATCAATGGTTCTGCCTTGGAGATTAAACATCTACTAAGTGTAGCAGGAATATTGTGTCTGGATAGAGCCCTACCTTGCTCACTGTGCAGTGAGCTATTAATTTCCAGCATGTTAGTATGTTAGGCACAAATATCCCAAGGTGAAGGGTGCAACAAAAAGAAATAGTAAAAAAAATTTATTCTCTCTGTGTATATATACATACACACATACACGCACACCCACACCCCCCTTTCGTAAATCTGTGGAGAAGCAACTAGGTCACTGGCAATGCACAGGGAACTAACTACCTGGATGATGCAAAAAATGCTGTGGAATCACTACATTTCATTAAAACCTGGACAATGCTTCCACTGCAGGATTTCCATAGCCTCATCACCATTGGAACTCACCTCCCCTAACTTAGATGTTGACTTCTGAGCTATTCATTGCATGGCCACCACCAACTCACAGTCAGTGGAGGCAAATTGCCAGCTGCAAAGACTTTTTAAGTGCTCCAGTGATTATGAGGGGACCCTGGTCCTCCTCTGAAACAAATTTTTCAATTACTTGAAAAAAAAAAGAAAGAAAGATCAAATGTGACAATGCAGTAAGAAAGAATGTAATTATGTTCAGATTACACCCTCATGGGTGGTCAAGTCCAGGTGATCCCATTGCAGCCACCTGTGTTTAAAACATCTCTAAAGGCACCCACTTAGAGCACTAGGATAGCAAAAACCCGAATCACAGCAGAGGAAGGGGAAGAAATCAAGTTACTTCCTTACAAAGTCTTCACTTTAAGGGAACAAGAAGTAAGTGGTGCAAAACTCAAATTAAAATATTCAACATTCAGTTCTCTGATTTTTTCTGCATGTAAAAGAAGAAATCTACACTCTGATGATCTGCTACTCCAGTGTCTGCCAAAGAGGAAGAAACTCAGTGTTAAATGTGTCAGCTGAGAGTCCTGCCTCCCTGAAATGAGAAATCCTCTTGGACACAAGACCAAGACAGAGCACACAGAAACTCTGTCTGAGCTGGGCCTGTCTGCAGGGCAGATTCTGCTATGCTGGAATCAATTTGATATTACAGAAATAGAAGAAGTATTAGAGCAATGCCTGAAGCTGTACCACTCTCTGCTTCACCTTGTCTGATCTCCCATGCAATGCTGGGCCAGGGCTCTCTGGGAGGTGCCTCTTCCTCAAATACACAGCAAGATCAGCACCTCCAACACTTGGAGGCCTAAGAATGAAGTTTGCAATTTTTTTCTGAGTCAGAGTTCAAACTCCTGTGTCCCAACTGAGTTACTGCACCTTAGACCAGAGGCACTTGCAGTACATTTTTCCCAAATAATTACTCAAATGAGTATTTTATTGATTTATCAGGTAAGTCTATACAATTCTCCAGTTTATCCATCCTAAAAAGTAAACCACAGTAACAAGAACTTCACACAGCTTTCAAGAAGATAATAGGATTGTGAACTCTCTGTAACTGTACAAGACAGAATTCCATGGGAACAATGTTCAATGTCAATTAAATACTGATAGGCAGTAATTCCAAAACTAGATAAAAGGTGTCAAAGATGCCTCATTGCAACCTCCCAGACCTGTATGGCAAAGTCAACTGCCAAAACCAGTCCTGAGAAGTTCACTTAGTTATTCAGATGCTTTTCCTGTCTTTTTGGGACAATATGTTCTGTTGACTCTCTTTAGAGAAAACAGCTTTTTCAGCAGTTGTAACATATGTCCTTTCAAAATACCTTTTTGTCCAACAAGATTGTTTCTAATAACAGTTTTTAGTTAACCAGAATTATTTGAGCAGCAAAGTGCTCACCTGAAGAGATTCATTGTGGGTACAGAAACAGATTTTGTAGCAGGTGTATCATTATCAGAATATAGGAGGATTTTCTTTTCCTTGCCATTTTTTCAACAAGATACATATATTTCTTTTTAAATTCCAGCCTTTGAGTCCTGCTGATTACCAGAAAACTATTTGTGTTTAAAAGCATGGATAAGCTTTGCTGAGTCATGATGTAAGTGAATCCAAACTCTGCCCAGTACACCAGCTCTATGCAAAGCCAGGAACAAACACCTGCTTCCACAAGCAAGCCAAAACCATCTCAGATAACCCCCAAAATCAGTGTTTGATATTCTCCTTAGGTTTGTAAAGGGAAAATAATTTAAAACCCTCCACCTAACAATGATTCTAAACAACTGAGATTTGAACTTTAAATTGTTTTTCTCATAAGTAATATCTAAAGAACAGCAGCTCTCCTCAAGCACAGAAAGCATTGGCAGAGAAAGTGTTACCTACTGTATGTCCTCAAACCATAAAGGGACGTGTAGCTGAGCTAAGAGAAAGAACACTTTGATTCACAAGATAACATAAGGTGATACAGCACAAAAGACTCATTACTAGAGTTAGTTTAAAACCATTTAGAAGCAAGAAGTTTTGAAAAAAGGCTGTACTGCTTTTTGGAGGATGCCCAGGTTACTAATTTGAACTGAATCTACATAGAGGAGATAGATTAAGTGCAAGTGTTAGGAAACAGCATAAGGAAAAGGAATTTCTTAAACTTCTGAGCAGGTACTCTGGGATACTAGGGCACTCCATGGCTTTACACACAGCTAGCTCTTGTAATATTGTTACACTTCTTGTTCAGATTCAGTCACATCAACCCACACAATAGAGAATATCTACCTAGCAAATCCTATAGGAAAACTACAAGAGTTAATTAAAAATGGAGCTAATTTTAGATGTGAGCTAAATTTTTCCACTAGTCAGGCAGCAGGAGATGCTGGGCAGATGATCAGACTCAGTGACTTTGTTCAAGAAGCCTCTGTGGAATTCTGCAAGCAGTCCAAACCAGCTCATCCCACACCAGCACAACCAGAGAGCCAGATCTGCTGTGTACTGCAGTAAACACAAACCTGGAACAAAGCAGGTGGAATTGTACACTCTGAATCTCACATTTCCCACAGTAGACAGAAAGGATGTAAGGCATTGAGAAATCACGCTCCTTTCACCTCAGGAGCTGTGTAAAGTTTTTCAGTGAAATAATTCTGAGAGAGATATGGGCATCCAGGATGTGCCACAAGATCTCACAGAATATGACTGTTGAAAATAAGAAGTAATTTTTGTCTGAGCAGAGCAGTGATGGCAAACTCTCTGACAAATGTAGCTGGAAGTTCTTCAGTGCAGCATCTCTGATGAATTCAGCTTGCATTTTAACTCAACAGTTCACTTTTATTTTAAATCAACTAGGCACCCACATACTGAATTTCACAAGTATATTTTTGTGGGTTTTAATCTCCAGGTTTTTAATCTCCAGGTGACTACCTGACCCATCACTTGTATTGCCTAAACACCTCATGCAGTTAATGCAGGCAGCCTGTCCAAACATGCTGCCATTAGCAGCAACAGCTGCTCCCATCCAGCAAAGGGAAAAATAACCCTTCAGGGGATTGATAAATTACCCATTGAAGCTCATGTGGACTCCATGTGAACACAGCAGGCAGCAGCACAGATTGGCTTCTCCCTGTCCACATGCACTGTCAGCTGGAGCTCTGCCTTGTGAGGGGGCACCAGGGCACCTCCCAGCAGAGACTGAAATCACAGCAACCACTGTGCATCACTTGCTGCTGTTATCCTTAAGTAACACCATCACTCTGAACTGCATACATTTTCTGTAGTGTAATCTTCATCAAGAAATGTGAAAGAAGTTGGTAAATACTGCTTCATTCCTCACCACTCCCCTCAGTAACTTGGAGTGGTGCTACAAAACAGGAAAGCACTGACAGGGTGCAGAGGAATGACCCTGTCCCAGGTGCAGCCTCTCATCCCAGGAGTGGCTCCCAAGAAGGACAAGACTATCCTCTGTACAGACACTGTGCTCCTGCAGAATCCCAAATGCCCTGCAATAAACTATGGACGCTCCCACTGCTATCACAGGGCTGAAATATTTGCCTCAGGGAAGCTGCCAGCCTCTGCCCAAGGCTAAGCTACAAATGTCCTTCTTGTAGACCTTGCAATAGCTCTCCAGTGATTTGATGCTGCAAGCCAGGCCATCAACTCAGCCCACTAAAAATACTCGTGACTTGAAACAACAAATAGGCCCTGGAAAAAAAGGATGTGAGAAGACAAACATAAATATTTTTCCAGGTAAAAGCTATCAGGTGAAATGAGGCCTTTCTGCTCACAACATCTGTTTCTGGTGACTTTTCCATCATCACCAAAGAGCAAAGCAAGCTGAAGAGAAAAGACACAGGGAGGCTTTGACTCAGAGACATTAAGAGCCAGCTATCATCCACCTCCCAGACTCCCAGACTCGCTCCAGGGCACGAGCCAAAGCAGGATAAGGGAGAGCTGCTTCCCCAAATCGTCCTGCTGGGGAATTTCAGCTACTCTGATATCTGCTGGGAAAGCAGCATGGTGAGCTGAAGGCAATCCAGCAAATCCTGGAATGCACAGAGGGTAACTCTTCCAGCCAGGTGATAGGCAGCCCTGCCAGGGGGATGCACTACTGGTCCTGAGGGTCACCAGCACAGGGGAGCTAATCAGTGAATTCAAGGGTGGAGCAGCTGGGGTGCAGTGATCACACACTAGTGGAGTTCATAGTCCATAGTCATAAGGATATGGCTCAGGCAAAGGGTGAAGTCAGAACCCTGAATTTTAGGAAAGTAAGGAAAGAAATTCTTATGATGAGGGTGGTGCAACACTGGAGAAGGTTGTCCAGAGAGGCTGCACATGCCCCATCTCTGGAGACATTCAAAACCAGGCTGGACAGGGCTCTGTGCAACCTGATCTAGTTGAAATGTGCCTGCTCATGGCAGGGAGGTTTGGCTAAGTGACTTTTAAAGGTCCCTTCTGACCCAAACCATCCTATAACTCTGTGACCTTTCATGCAGGATGTTCACCTGAAGCTCATGCCAAGTCAAATCAACAATGAGTTTACGAAACATTTAGGATAATACAGCCTGATCTCATAGTAATAACCCATAATTACAGCTATGCTCAGAGAAGCATACAGGCCCATGCTGCTGCCTGGTGAGGCAGTGTGACATGCACTGAAAGCAACTGAGCTGTCACCAATAACCCACCCTCCTCTGCAGCCTGCGGTGCCTAGAGCCACCCCTGTCCCTCCCCAGGCAGTGCAGTACCTGCACGAGCAGGGCTCTCTGTGGGGCAGGGGTGCAGGGGCTGGAGCTGCTCCCGGATCCCATCCTGGGCTGCGCGGGGGCCTCGTGTCCCAGCGCCGCCGGCCACAGCGGGGGCTGTGCGCTGTCACTCTGCTTGGCTCGCTCCTCGGCCTGGGAAGGACAAAAGCAGCAGCACATTGCACAGACAGCCCCAGTTCATGGGCTGGATGCTGTTTCATGACAGCACAGAACACATCACCTCCAATGGACCTTCCCACCAAGGAGGACAGCCCTGGCACAGCAAAAACCACCATCTCCTCTCTATTTGCAACCCTTCCTCCTCCATCAAGTTTCCAAACAGAGCAAGGAGAAGGGCTTGAGTTTCCATCTGCTGTATTCTAGGCCACTCCTTTGGTTGCAGGCTGAGATTTTAGCTGGGAGGAATCATCTGTCTATACTTACTTATCTTTGACAACATGCAGCCTCTGTTTTGCTGTGCATTAATTACCCCCTTCCACAGCAATGACACTACTGCACTTTGCTTTTTACCTTAAAACACTTTCAACACTCTGTCTTTTGGTATGTTACTTGTGAGAAAGACTGAGGAACACGATCTAGAAGGAATAAATTTCCTGAGGGCATTGCTCATTACAAAAGTCTTTATCCTGTGGTTTTGACTACACTATGCTTTTCAATTCTGTTCAACATGACTAATTCCCATTCTCTAATGTAAATCTTCAGCATATCCTCTGATTCAACAGCCTGGAAACAGCTCTACGCAGTAAACTAGAGATTAATGCCATAAAAATACCCTGTATCTGTGTTAGGGTGGGCATTCTTAACAGTATCTCCCACTATATCTGGATGTTTGTGCCTGTATCAGAAAGGTAAGCATATTCTTAGCACAGCCTAGAAACTGCTGAGGACATGGAAAATTATTCCACTTTGTCTCACTGTGGAAAAAAAGAAGACCAAAACCTAAAAAAACCCCCAGTTACTAAAACTAACAACCACAGCCAAACCACGAAATTCTAGCTCCAGTGAACACACTCTTGAGGCCACATTTTCATTACCTACAACTCATAATAATGAAAGGCAAATTTTACTATAAGCAAGGAAGAAAATGTAAAAGCCAGAGATGATAATTCATCCCTCAGCTCTGGGCCCAAGGAACTCCCAAGAGAGGGTTCTGCATCCCCAAATATTAAACTTGAGGTTTTGGAGGGCTTTAGGGTTTTTTGTTTGTTTTTAATGTCTCAATGAAACTATAATTATTGTGCTCTTCTGTGTATTGATGACTGGTCCTAGAAACGGGAGCCCTAAAAAGTACAAACTCACTGTTGAGTAGGCTACCACTGTCCCCATACATGTACCTCTCAACAGAGGAGCTAACATCTCTCTTGCTAATGAACTGGAAAAGTTCAGCATCAACAGGAGCAAAATCACTGACTTATCCCTGTTAAAAACAGTTACAACTTTAAAGCATTTTTAGATCATTGCAAATAGTTAAGACTGCTGACAAAGAAGTCTCAACCAAAAAAGGCTGTACCACCAATTATGAATTTAGTGGAAGGATCTGTGACTTCCAAGAAGTTCTGAGATTAAGTAAATAATATTTTACAATATCCTTAAAACTCGAACATATTGTTGCAGCCATAATGACAAAAGCCTCATGCTGTGAACTTAAAAAGCAAGTAATCTGCAACTAATTACACTAAATTAAAAGTTAACAGTGACTGCACACTAAATTCTTCATTTTGCTATCAAGGAGTAATTTACAAAACACATACCAAAACAAGAGATGAGTATTTAAGACAGTATTTTATTGGTTTTTTGTCTTCTAACTACAGTAAAGTAGAAAATAAATTAATCATCAGAGTTGCATTTTCACCCATTAAAGGCCTAGAAAAGGCAAAGTTTTTCTATTGACTTTGATGTTGTGTATTTAGAAAAAGCAGCTTACTTCTCTGTCCACACTCAATTTGCTCCTCAGCTGGAATAAAACCCAGCCCTCCATCATCAAACAAATACTGATTTCAAGAGCTGTTCATTCAAATTTCAGTAACGATTTGCTTAATCAGTCAGTACAATAAAGCCTTTAGAACCAGGGCATTTGTGGTTTTGACAGTTAGGTTGTACTTCAAACAGAATTACTCTCGTTTTCACAAACTGCTGCTCTAACAAGGAGCACTAATATCTTTTGTTTTCCTAACTTCAAGCTGCTGCTTAGCTGTCTGTAGACTCTATTCAGTTACTGAAATTCATCATTTCACCAATTCTAGCAGTTACATTTAACTATTTATCAGTACAGGACATTTCAGCTCAGGGAATAGTTGCAGCACACACACACATGAAGATGACAAAGATGGCAGCAGCAAGGTGTTAAGAAGCTGCCCTGCATTTCTCCTATTTACATGTGCATGAGCTCTCCCCATGCCTCTGTTTGGGCATTTTGGGAAGATGACTGCATTTTGCCATGACTGCACAGAACATCAGATCCATTCTTCTACTGAGGAGGCACCTGTGAGCTGCTGAGATTTTGACCCAGACTTTAGTAACACAACAAATCACACACCAGCTGTAGAACTGGGTTTACTAGTTGGGATAATATCAAAAAAGCATGCTAGGAATGAGGAGATGGAAATGGACCCAGAGCTTTTCATGGCATGGTGACAGTGACCAGAATGAGTTGGTGGGTAGAAATACTGTCAGAGTTAGCAAAGGAGGAAAATGGATTGCAGTACAGGCTGACTGTATGTGGCTATCCCTGATCTATCAAACCTTACCCTGTGACATAAAAACCAAGAAAAGGCATCACAGGCTGCTTGTTGGGGCACAGAGGTCTGTGCTCAGGGGGCAGGATGCTGTTCTTGCCTGGCTCAGTTCTGTGAACCCTAACATCAGGCAAAGACCTCTATTAAAGCTCAGGTGGTATTACCTTATTTCATGCCTCTCTGAAAGACAAGGGAATGACACCTATTGACCAGAAGAACCTCATTTGTCCACTCACCAATCAAACCCTTCCCTCAACTCAAGCAGAAGTGACAGAACAATTCTTCTTTTCCCTTATCCTCTGAATATTAATGGAAACTGAAGACTGCAGCATAAGTGTGTAGAAAGACAGGTCAAGCTCCAGATGTAGGTTTAAAAATCAGTCTGCTCTCTGCTTCAGCATTCCTACAGCATTATAAACTACAAAGCACCAAAATGCTGCCCTGGCCAAGACAGTACCTCTTTGCTTGTGCTGCTTGATGGAGGATGCACTCCCACATTTGAACTCTTGGAAGGCTCCTTCTTCTTCTGGTCATGCTGGAGAGACAGCAGCTGAGTCTGATCTTTGGGGAGGGTTCTGTGCATCTTCCTGTTGTGCTGCACATCTTCCATCTTCTGAAAGCACAGAGTGATGGACCTCAGAGACAATGATGCCTTGGAGGACAACCAAGTTGCCTGCTGGAAATAGTGGCTTTTCAAAGAACACAGAGACCACAATTCCAGCAGGGCTGACAGAAGAGTCAGAACGCTGAGTAACAGGAAGAATAAAATGGCACCAAACACTATTTGGCTTTTTAGACAGCAGGTCAGAAAAACATATTTGTTTTTTTTACTTTTACTAAAACCAGAGGTCTTTAATCGAACACTGCATGCTTCTGTTTGATTACAAATCAATTTGCAGCTGAAACATTAGAAAAAACATTGTGGTCAAGGTGACAGACTTGATAATGACAGTTCAGCATTAAAATCAACCTCTGCTTCACTGTTTTTGTGAAAAAGAAATGGTCCTGGTTACAACATGAATGCAAAATGGGGACTGGAGATCTAAGCTTAGGTTTAGCTGATGCTGGAAGCTTTCAGGGTAAAGGAATTTCAATCAGACCAATTCAGCACAGAGGAACAGCAGGGACAAAAGTGGGAGAGGCAGTGTCCCTGCTGTAGATATGGAGGGTGACTCAGTAACATCTAAGTCAACTCAAAGGAAGGCTAAATCTCAGAACAAGAGGCAGTAAATGCATTAGTGAAGTTCTTCCTTGGTCCATGACTCAGAGGATGGGAACACCCTCAGGGAACTGAGAGAGACATCAGATACAGAACAGGGAGCTGCAAACTGCTGTCAGCAAATACCCTCTTCATACCTGCTTCTTTTCCAATTTCCTCTGTCCATCTACTACGAAGTATTCATCTTCCACAGCCCTTTTGTCTTCTTTGCCCCTTTCCTCTTTCCTCTGACTGACTTTCACCTCTGGCCACCTCTGCTCACACTCCTGCTGCCTCCGTAGCTCCTGCTCTCGCCTCTGGTGCTGGAAGAAAGCCAGGGAACAACACTGCTTATTTTACTTTACTTTAGTACCCACCAGTTACTCATGCCAGGGATCATAAATCACAAGGCCCATTTCCTGCTCTGCAGTCACTAAAGGGGGGACACCTGACACCACAGAGCAAAAGTGGGCAGGGACAAGCTGCCACCACCGTGACTGCCAAACCTGAAGTGAAACCTCTGCCCTTTTGGCAGCCCAGGGCAGATCTGTTATTTATGAGGCATGTGAGATCTCCCTGACAGCTGACAACTAATCTAATGACAAATGTCTTCCCAACATTTCAAGAAGGGAGGGGTTTTTTCCCAGTGTTCCCATTTTGCTGGAGCAGCACTGTGCTTCACAGGTGTCAGCTCTGAAGTGTTCACACAATGCTCAAGTTATGTCAGATACAAGAGAGAAGAGACACGTTGGTGATTTTTGTGTTGTGCCACTGCAAAAGCGAAACTGAGGGGCTGGAGCATGTCCAGAGAGGGGCAGCAGAGCTGTGGAGGAGTCTGGAGCACAGGTTCGATGAGGAGCAGCTGATGGAGCTGAGGGCGCTCAGCCTGGAGGAAAGGAGGCTCAGGGGGGACCTTACTGCTCTGCACAACTCCCTGACAGGAGGTTTTAGCCAGGTGGGGGTCAGGCTCTTCTCCCAGGTAACAAACAAGTGGTGCCATGGCAGGTTTAGATTGGATATGAGGAAATATTTGTTTACTGAAAGGCTGGTCAAGCATTGGAACAGACTGCCCAGGGAAGAGATGGAACCAGCTCTCCTGCAAGTGTTGAAAAAGGTATGTGGATGTGGCACTTAGCACCAAGATACAGTGGTGGACATTCAGTGCTGGGTTAATGGTTGCATTGGATCCTAGAGGTCTTTCCAACCTTAATGGTTCTGTGATTTTATGATTTAGCTTTCCCTCTAAGACAACAGTGTGTCAGGCACCTGAAAGGGCAATCAGCTGCCTTTTAGTATCTTAGACAAAAGCAGGGCCAAGACTCTGGACCAGACCAACAGACTGAAAAGTGGGGAATACATAAGAGGAAGAAATGGGGATCTCTCATCCCATCTGCCAGGGCTACCACCACCAAACCTACTCAATCAAAATGCCTTTGGGGGTCTGCTCACAGAGCCCAGGGCAGGTTATCAGCAGCAAAAGGACAGAGCCCATCTAAAACCACGGTGTTCAAAAGTGACACAGATCTCCCAAGGTGCCAGACTTGATCCAGGTTGAGCTGATTTAACAATCTAACACAGCCCTCTTGTCCTGCAAAGCCTACTCCCTACAGGCACGTTTTTCATTTGAGACGAGACGTGGAATAACAGCACAAGCCAGGCCCCTACATCCTCCAGCCTCCTCCTCTGCTCCTTCTGCTGCTCGATGCGCTTCTGCCGCTCTGCCAGCAGCTGCTGCTTGTACTTCTCCTGGTCCTTCGGCTGCTGCTGCTGCCGGTGAGGGTCTGAGCGGTTCTTGTTCTCCTGCTGCAGCCGCAGGAACTCGCGGCGCAGAGTTGACTCCCCCGGGAGATTAACGATGGAGCTGAAACAAAGAGCAGGTTTCTACATGACAAAACACAGCATTAAAGAGAGAATAGAGGTGCTTTGAGAATGTTTGTTGCCCTGCTTTAGCAAATCATTATACATCTCCAGCAGTTGACTCTACAGCCACACCTGGTGTGCTACAAACCAGCTTGAAGCTGATTATTGGGTCATTCATTTGAGAGTTTCCCCCCTACTGCAAGGAAAGTAAAACAGCAGCTTATTACAGACATTTCATACTCAGCAGTTATGTTTGACAGCTACAAAACAGTTAAAGCTACCAAAGGGGACCCAGGACATTTGGGATTCAGAGCAAGAAACTGTTCTGGCTGAGGAGAGCTGCCTTCAATGACAACAACCTGGGCAGTCAAATTTTCTATTTCAGTAATAAAATTAACCTTGGTTCTCCTTCATCTTCATTCAGCTCATCATCTTCCTCCTCACTTCCACTGTAATCATAGTCTGTTTCTTCTGAAAAAGAGAATAAACAAACACCAGAGGAGGATGCTGTTATTTAAGACATGATCTTGAACTTTATCTCTGAGCAATCAGCCTGAACTACAGGCTAAGGAGGAACTGGAATTTAAAAGTCACATGTTGTAGAGGGAAGCTGAGGGAAGGCAAAATATCCATGTACATAATTCAAAATCTAGTTCAGGTAATGATTCAGGGCAGCCCCTTTACACACACCCACCTTTTCCCGTGACTGACTGTATTGGTTTTGCAAAACTAACCTACTTCCATCATCTGAAGGAAATTAGGCTAAACCCACAGAGAAACCCAACCCCCACAGCACCACCAACAGTGGGGTTCTCAAAAAGACATTTTGGCAGGACATAAAAGCTTGCACTGCCCTGCTCTGCTGTCATGGCTATGCTGAGGCCACCAGTAAATCCAGGTTTCCTTTTGTATCAAAGGGAATAATTAGGTAAGCAAAAAAAGAAAACAAAAACTAATACTAGTTTTAATACAATGTTTTAAAAGCTGATCTGTAGTTTTAAAGTCCTCTTCAAGACTGACATGAAGGCAGTTTTTATGGGATAATTTCAAACTGGTCCTACCCTGCATTGTTGGCTGTAGTACATGCTAAATTGTCAATTCATTTTTTTTTTTGAAATTACTATTTTGAAGTGTAGTCTGGCAATTCCACACTATTCTCCTCTTCAGAGGAGTTTTGATTTAAAATAGTATTTTCAGGTCAAAATATAACTATTTATGAAGAAGTGACATCTTTGCACTCCTCCACCCCTCTCAAGGGCATTTGTGAGAAATTCCAACTATCTTTCCATTTCAGTGTGCTTTGAGATTCACAGCTGAAAGAGGTGGCAGAATTTGCAACTACTACTGGAGTCAGTAAATCTACTTTGCAACAGCAATTTCATTTTAGATGCAAATATTCCTGTTTATAAGACACCTTCCAACACCACAGTGCTTTCCCAGTTTGCTCTCACAGTCCCTGATCCTCACAGCATTTCTGGCAGTATAAAACACGCTGAAAGGGAAAAGGGGAGAGAGGGCAGGGTCATTGGTCAACAGGCCACTTGTCTCTGTCCCCTTTGCACAGTCTTAGTCGGCCATGCACAGGCATTTTCACAAGTATCACCCCAATTCCTGCACTACTTCTTCCAGCTTTTGCTCTGAAGGGTAAGGCTGGCATTTGGAACAAATTTTCTTCATTCATGCTGTGAAGGAAATGATTCATTATAACATCTGCATTTTACTGGAGCTTGGAGGTCTTTTATGCACTCTATTTCAAAACACTTAAAGAGTCCTGCTGCCCCAAAAGAACTCACAGGACAAATTTATATGGAGATCCAACAACTGGGACAATTGACAATCAATCTGGGACAGAAATATGAACAGAGAGACCAGGAAATACTTGTGGAGCACTGCTCAAGAAAGCAGAGACCCAGACTTCGCTTGGAGTCCTTGCTCCCTGCTAGCATCAGGGCTGCTCTCAATAACTCAAGGTTCCAAGGACTTAAGCACTCAAACACCATTAAGGATCCAGGCTACAACAAAGAAATCTTCAAAATGGCCCCACTATTGAGGACAATACTTTCTCAATTTTCCTGGTTCTAGTATTTCAGCTGCATCTGCCTTGTGCTCTGCTGCCAAAATCTGAAGAGGACATGTTCTCTGAAGTGTGCTTTATTTTGGTTCTGCCATGTTACCCTTCTCTCCTTTTTTCTTCCTAGTCCTGTCCAGGTGGTCCTTGAGCATGATGCGCACTTGCCGCTCGTTCTGCATGTCGCGGATGAAGGAATGCTTCAGCAGGGTCTCCGTGGATGGACGGTGCAAATAATGCTTCACAAGGCAGCTCTCAACAAAATTTAGGAATTTCTTTGACCTAAAAAAGACAGAACAGTGGAGAAAGAGTGATAATCCTTTTCAACTTGTGGCCCAAGCACTACCTGAGAGGTGGAAAGCACTAAGTTTGCAAGGTTTCCTTCTACACAGGAACTGAGAGAAACAATTTGAGTTCTGCCACCAGTGAGACTCCTGTGACCAGCACAGTGCTGAAGGTGAACTCCACCTCACCACCCTCTCAGAGGAGTTGTTACCTTGAATTTACATCCTGATCAACAAAACCACAATCTGGCCAACACAAGCCTTTCAAAAAGGCCCTTGACCTTTTGATAAGGTGAAGATTTTCTTTGTACACTTAATTTAAAACAAAAAGTAATTCTCTGTAGGGCAGGTGACTGCCATTAGCCCCACAATGTCCAAGCAATCTGACAAAGCCCTGACCCCAAGCAGCACATCTAAGCCTTCCTTGCTTACCCTGCAATTTCAGCCACAGACACCAAAATGAAACAACTGCGCAGTTCAGGCAGAGTTCAAAAAGAAAGGTGTTGTTTCCCAAAGGTCAACTATATCTGCCCTCTGGTTCAATCCAACTCATAGAAACAGCTTAGGAATCACCTCCTAGATAACTACATGATTTAACAAAATCATTGTTTCTGAACAAGAGAGCTAAAAGCCCTCCTAAGCCCACTGCAGCAAAAATACAGGGTTTTTTATACATCTCTTTACCATTTTCTGGATTTCAACTTTGGGGGTGGGTTCCTTGGGATGAGGAAGAGTGCTCTCATGGGATGCATGTCACACAGGGCTGCAAAGGAAACCACAAATTATGGAAGGATGCATGTACCCCCTGTGACCTCACTTCCAACATCACAGTGTTCACCCCAGAACCCCACCAGGAGCCAACCAAATTCACAGTACAGCCAAGAAAACAAGTCTCTGACTACACAGAGATTTCCAGCTAAAAGACATTCAAAAGAAAGGCTGCAAAGCAAGAACAAGTACAACTTTCTTTGCATTATATATATATATATATATATATATATATATATATATAGCTTTGGAAGGACATAAAAATTTCATATTTCTCATACACAAAAGTGTGTTTGCACATACACAGAAGTTAAAGCTGAGATTGAAATATTCATCTAGTTATTAAGTCTGCCTTCTGGTTTCAGATAAATTATAAGCTCCATTTTAACCAAAATCTTTGCCACATTTTTCATGGCATATGAGAAAACCCAGGAAGAAGAAAAGCTGACCCAAAGCACAGAGCTCACAACCTGCCCTGTGGCACAGAGCAGAATGACAGAGCACACATTTCATCCATACTGTGCTCTGGGAATGGGAGCACCATTCCCAGGTCACAGATTCCATCCCTGCATTCAGAAGCCACCTTCTCTCCAGCCCACTGTACTTCTCTTCAGAGCTACTTTTGTGGAAAGCTGAAGTTATGAGGAACTCAGGAGAAAGCAAATACCATCCTCAGGCACTTTGTATGGAATTTTGAGTGTGTTCTATCTGGCAGGGAGAAATGTTGAGGGTAAAAGGTTTTCCTTCACCAGAGAGAGATACTGAACGACAACTGTCAGGGACTACATGGAGGCTGATTTCTTATAATATTTAGGTGTTCAGCAGTGATGCTCTTAACAGAAATGGACTTAGAGCATCACAGAACCAGTAGAAGTGAGAAGCTCTGGTAAAGCTTTCCCTACTTTCTATTAATTTCTCAGTCTGCCTCCACGTGCCATTCTCACATTTGGTTCTGGCTTTGACATTTTCCTTGGTATGTTCAGTAGAACATGATGCAGTGGCAATGAGGGGCAGAAGTCTGGTTTCTAGCTCTGGGTCTCAGACACTGTTGTACTACAGTAAACAAAACACAAGGCAACAGAATATAACCCACAGTATTTCCCTGTCTAAACTGGGGAAAACATCAAATACATGAGGAACTGGCATGCAAAGCTACAAAGTCTCTCCCAAAAAAAACTCCCAATGGACTCATGTCTCAGGACTAAGCTTCAGTCAGGCTAAAGTGCTCCTGAACTCCAGCTGGCTCCTGCTACAAACCAAGTCTGATGGGTGAGCAGCCAAGTGGGTTGTTAAAAACAGCCTACGTGCTCTCAGGCTCAGGCCAGAGTTTGATGGGTTTCATCTCCCTTGCCCTCAGCAGTGACCAGATACCCCACACATCCCATCTGCTCTGCAGGAGCTGGGCAAAGCCAGCAGCCCCCCATGCCAACAAAAATGCACCCACAGGTGTCTGCCTGACCTGCAGGAGGCTCTCTGGGGGAGTGAGGGGGCAGCAGGCTGGGAAACTGTGGCAATCTGCTCTCAGGCTGAGAGTGGTCATGGATCAAAGCCATTGCATGTGAGTAAATACCACATTAGTCCCAAAATCTGTCAGAAACAAGTCAGTTTCAGAGTAAAAAAATAACCTTTAGGCCTACCTTCTTTCACTGCCACAATTTTTTTAGTGATCTAAACCCAAAGGCACTCCTGTCAATATTTTCTGCTAACATATCAATCACTTCTGCTTAGTTGTATCCACAGGCAGCAATCAACAAACTGATGCTAACAAGAGCTTTAAGAAAAGAAATTTTGTTTTCCCAGGAAATAAAGGCAAGGAACAAAAATACAGACTGAAAGAGTCTAAAAGGAAGAAGAAAGCAAAAGAGTCCAAATGAGAAAAAGTCACAGAGTGTTTTTAAAGATACAGATAGAACCAGAATTCTGTGCATTAGCCAAGCATGAGTTATTTGAGCAGAGAACAGCCCCACCTTTATACCAAATCACTTACGAGGAGCTCCTTCAGCCATTTCAATAGCAGTGATTCCCAGGGACCACAGGTCACTCTGCAGGAAAAGAAACAATACTCATTGCAGCTTGCAGCATTCAAGCTTGGTTGTTTTGCTTGTTTGTTTTCTTCTTGGGTTTGGGTTGTTTTTGGGGTTTTTTTCCAGTTTCTCTAGATCTCTCCTAGATCATGTTGTTTTACTTGGAGTGAAAAATATTCTGCTCCCTTCCCAGTCCCTACTGAGCTTTTAGGGAACGTGCTAATAGCCAGAAGCTTCCTATTCCCCATGCAACTCTGATCCATCATTTAAGCAGCCAGCCCCAAAATGAGACCTTCTGCATTCAAAAAACAAGAGCCAGACAGAATATAGCAGACACTGTTTAAATATATGTCTTAAATCTCATGAGGCAGCAAGACACAGCAGTGCCTCACCCTTCTCCTTCTGGCCAAAAACTATTCTTGGTTTTAATGCTTGTTTCAGAGCAGTCATTGCTGAGTTTCTACACTGATAGAACAAGAATTGTAGTCAGGCCTTGGGGTCTGATTTTTTCTGTACAAAGTCTCTGGTCACACTTTTTTGGGCACATGAGAGAAGAGTGCATTGTGCAGTCAGATTTGTGCCACAATGTTCAGCTCAGTTAACAGAGTGGAGTTCTCTTTATCAGCTGATCTGGATGCCAAGGGCCAGGTTTTGATCATGGAAAGTACATTGCAGCCACCTTCAGTGTCTGTAAAAACTTCACACGTTTCCACTTGATTAATCATGTGCATTATTTCACTATTCTTTGTATCTAAATGTAGCCAAATGAGAGGCACATGGCCAAACCAACTTGCAGAGCTTCTCTAAAACTTACCTTTTAAAAAAACTGACTGACAGAAAACCACCAAAAGTTAGAAGGAATAAGCCATTACATGAATAGCAGATCATGCCCAGCCCAGCACTCTAAATGCAATTTTATCAACAGAACCCTCCCAGTCCAGCTGCTCTGAACTCTGCACACAAGCTGAAAGCCAGTTCACATCAAAGTTTGTGGAGGGATTCAGCAACAAAACTGGTGGGGATTTCACAGATCCACAATCCTGACTTGTAATTAAGTAAATGACTGAAAATAAAGAGTCTTCAAGGGGTAGTACTGCAGGTTTTGAGGACAGTGAGAGAAACATCCAGGCTATAAGGAATTTTGGTTCGGAGTTCCAAAGCATGAGAGGCAGACAGGTGCAAGGGAGGATGACAGCAGTGTTTGTAAAGCTCAGTGTGCATACAAACACATTTATGTGGATGTATTTGTACTAGTTTTGTCTTGTTTGTTTGTTCTGGTTTTTTTGAAGAGCAAGAAGTTCCAGAGCAGCTTCCTGCTACTTAGCCCTTCCTACCAGGTGTAAGTCACTGTGGAAAGAGAAGCTCCGTGCCACCTTCTGAGTCACAGCACTGTTTGCAAAAGTGCTTCCAAAACCCTCTGCTGAGCAGTTTTAAACTACCATCTGCACTATCTGTTTGGGAGCAGACAAACTAGGATTATTACTGAAGGCAAAGAAAGCTCAAGAATTAGAGCTGCACATTCTTTATGATTTTATTTTCTGGTAAGTACACATTCAGAGAAGGAAATAACTGGGGACAGGGAATGAAGACAAGAGATTAATTTATTGAGGTTTCAGTAGAAGATTTGTATGATATGGAAAAATTAAAATTCTTTAGTCATGACTGACACACACAACATGACCTCACAGGGCCAGAAAGTCTCAGCAAGGGAGAATCTCAGCCTCTGAATCACCAGGAAATGGAAGCAGTGACAGGATCTTCTCATAAATATTGCTGAAGCCACAGCTGGAAGGAGAGGTGCAAAGTGGCAGTGGAGAGAGCACCTGAATTAAAAGAGTGACTGTAGGATCACCCAGAGGATTCCTGCTCAGAAAACCATCCCTGGAAAACATGCTGCATGGCAATGCCCACAACTGAAATACCGGAAATTCTGTGCCTCAGCCACCCTGCCACTGACCAGAAACCATTCCAGTCACATGCTCATGAATGAGCAAAGGGATACTAATTACTGCCAATTAACTCAGGATTCACAGCTGAGTACAGAGCAAAAAGCTCTACCACAATGTGCAGTAATTTGCCATATTAATATTACATTACTTCAAGTATTCCTTTGGAACTCCTCCCTTCCTTTCTTTTCTACCCAGACCTGCAAACTCTTAGTACTTTTTTTTTATTGTAGAGAAGTTCATGAAAGTGTATTTCATGTACTAAAAATTCAGAAAAAATACTCACAGTGAAACATAACTCTTAAAAAGAGCTGCCACCCACATATTACAAAGACCTCTGTTTGTACAGTTCTAGTATTATTGTGGTTTATAAGGCAGGAAGCTTGAACTTTTCAGATGAGCAGGATTTCAGCAATAACCCACATGTTTTCTTACCTTATGGAGTGTTTCACACTTACTCTGTAATCATATGTAGAGTCTGGGTTCTCCTCACAAGCAATGACCTCAGGTGCCATCCAATACGGGGTGCCAATAAATGTGTTTCTTCTCCCAACTGTCCTGTCCAGCTGAGCACTTACACCAAAATCCACTGAAAAGCCAAGAAGAGATAAAGAAATTAGCAAAAAGTTGTATCCACATGGCAAAGCATGTGCTTGGTCACTTTCATACTGTTTAGAACATCAAAAATTTGCCCTACTATATATATATATATATAATATATGAAATCTGAGCTCCTCCAGCATGTCTTATCCAATAGTTGAGATTTAACTGCCTCTTTTTTTCCCTTCTTTTTGACAGAAGAATTAAATAATGCTGAATTATTATTTAAATTATTTATAAATTATTTAGCATGCTAAATCTGCCTGGTGGGTTAGAGGAATTGCTCTACAAGATATTATGGAATAATTTGTGCTTAATTTAAATGCTACACTGAGTAGGACTCAAGGTCTTCAACTAGACTGAAAGAAAAAATGGTATCTACACACAAGGCAAATTTGGATGTGTCTAATATAGCCACTTGTGAAAGCTGGAAAGAACCACCATATCACTTCATTCTGAGGTGTCTGGAATAAATCCTTCCCTATGTTCATACATTATCTCAGAACAAACTGGAGAATCTTTATTCTACTTTATTAAGAGTAGAATAAAGTATTCTCTTAATAAACTACTTTATTAAGTAGTTTATTAAGAGAATAAACGACTTTATTCTCCTCTTAGACCATTATGATGAGTGAATCCTGTGGTTCTCTTTGTGCTGAAAAGGGTGGTACTTTCATAAGGACTGCACAGCAAAATGGCTTTGTTCACATATGAAAAGGGTCCATACAACCAATAATTATGTGATTGTATTTCTCTTTGAACAAAACCCCAAAATACAGTAATTGCATCCACTGGGATAGCACTGGAGTGTTATTCACAGAGGAGACAAAGGAGGGGGAAAGAGAAGGACTGAAAGGACACAGCCCCATGGTTACCATCAAGGAGCAGATTTTCTCATTGATGTTGTCTCATTGCAGATTATCTGCAAGCCAAAATCATTTGCAGTGCTATAATTCCATGTGCCTGCTTAGCAAGAAGTTGCCTCCAAGAAGAAGGTGGAGCTGACCTTTGGGATCATTCTGTGCTTCTGATGGGAAGTGCACACTCTCACACTGAGGTGGAACAGAATTGAACTGAGAACCTCTTGGTTTTGAGCTTCTTTTCCTTAAGACACATGAGCTAAACCTCTCTGGAAACATCTTTCTTTCTTGTTTTTAAAATCATTATACATGGTAAATGTATTTCATTTTTAACCAGAGTTACAAAGGTTTAACTGTTCTGTCAGCCATGTGAAGAAAGGTTGAAGTAGTAATTGCACAAGACCATAAAAACACACAACACCCCCACCTTACTGTTCTAAGAGGGAACAGCTGACAATTAGTACATATGATTTAAACTCCCTTTGACTTCAGTGAAGCCAGGTTTTTGCCACAAAGTTTAACCATAATGAGATTTTTTACTTGCTCCAACCAAGCATGCTACCCCACATCCACAAGCCATGTTTATTACTTGCTGTTTTCCAACTCTACAGTGAATTGTTTTAGTTAAAGAGAGAGGGACTGTAAAGATCATCACAAATAAGAAGTGTTCCCCTTGAGATTTCTCCTTTAAAACACTTGCCTGTGATGTCTTTCCAAAACATGAAAGACATCTCAAGAGAGATACGTACTTGAGTTTAGTTTTAGGAAGTCAGAAGTTGTCAACACTGACATGTCACAGTAATAAAAGGAAATGAGTAAACCCTCCAACTTTTCTGAGAGATGACTGTTTTTCAGTGGTAGCCCTTACACATGAGTAATTCCACTTATTGTCAGGTTTGTGCAAATCTCTAAGACTGCTTCCTTTAGAAAAATGGATTAGCAAAATTCGCTCCCCCAACTTTTTCAGTCTGGAAGTCTTTTGCATGGCAGGATGCTCTGTGAAGGCCTGATGGTGCTGTGAGCTCCTGGGCTGGCTCTGTCTGTGACTGCCTGCACTGCCCTCAGGCTGTGAGGGAAACCCCTGCAGAACAGCTTACATTTCACTTTGCAGAGCACTTTACATTTACAACTCTTTCTACACTACACACACCTTGTAAGCACAAGTATTAATGACACTTGGCACATGTCCTGCACTTAGGTTACTGAAAGTTCTCTCTGAGTCAATATGGAAATCTTAAATTTTAACAAACAGGTTTCCAGCACACATTTAAGGAAACTTACCCAATTTTACTTCTGCATTTTCTGTGAGAAGAACATTCTGCCCTTTAATATCTCGATGGATGACATGGTGAGCATGAAGATGTGCCAATCCCTAAAAGAAAACCGGATTTATTCTTTTTTCCTAACATTACCCTGACTATGGCACTGTTGACTTTTTACACTTTTGCCCTTTTCAGTCTTTATTCATAAGGAAAGTCCTTTAGATGTTATTAGCAACATTTTCAGGGAGGAGAGAGGACAGCAACCATAAGTTTGATTCTCTTCTTCACCACAGGCCTGACAGTGGTGGAGCATCTCGTGTGAAGAGATGCGTAGCAATATTTTAAATTATTGTAGCAATATTTAAATTAAGTGTGAAGAGAACAAGGTAGCAATATTTAAAACTTCTGTTTCAGAAACAAGGGATGCTCCTTACACTCTATGCTAAAAGCAAACAAAAGGGAGAAAGAGCAAAGCAGAATGCTCTGTATGAGGACCAGAGACAGCAGCTGGCTGGTTGTAGTGGCCTAAATTTTGCATTCAACAAAATGGTAAATTCAGTGGTAAATGGACTAGAGAAAGTTAAAAATACCATGTCAGACCTCTTTTTGAATGCAGCAAATATTGTTTTCAATCAGCTGATATTTGCTGTCTCCTCCTGCATTTCAAAATTGCCCATGGTTGAACTATCATAGACATAAAGGAACACACTGAAATAATTCATTATAGCAATCCAGGGATTCTTCACTCACAGCATTTAGCCTCTCTAATATTAATGGCTTCAAACAGAGCTTCCACCCAGCTTGTAAATTTTCCAGAATGAAGCACTGTCAATCCATGTGCAACTGGGCCATTTTGTCTTGAAACAAGCATGATTAAATCCAATCCCTTGTTTCACCAACATGCTGTTACAGCTCTCAGTTGCATGAGCATAAACCAAATGTTTTAGCATCGATTGCTTTAACAGAGACATTACAGCCACACCAATGAGGAACAACCTGACCACACCACTAAGGTTTTTTCTTTTGCAGAAGAACTCCCCACACTCTCCAGATACAATGATCATAATCTTCAGGTAGAGCCAAATCCCTGCAAGAAGGCCAATGCTCTCTGCTGAGCACATTTCTCAATTGCTATGCCCCAGAAACAAAGTTTTACCCCTATTCAAGCATTACTTCAGCATGCCAAGTAAATTCCAACTCCCAGAATATGCATTTATCTTACATTATTTAGAAAAGATGTAAAACTCTATTATAGGGAAGACAGATCAGTAACTCTGTAATGGGTTTTGAATTCAGAATGACTGGCTCCAACATCACATTTTTTTCCAGGCTAGTTCATTAGATTATACTTGGGAATTGTTTTATCCTCTGCGCTTTCCAGGAAAAAAAAGAAAAAAGAAAGAAAGCAGCCCTAAGCCTGCATGGAATGAAATATAGCCACAAGATTTTCTTGGGGAATACTGTCCCAGCAGGGCCACCTTTAAGATTTTGGAATGCTGTTTAGTCAGCATTGCCTCTAACAGTGTGGAAAAGAGACCCCTGAGTGTGTGCAGGTAAAGGAATTAGGGACAGAAAGATCTTACAACCATGAATAGCTGAAGCACTGAGCAGCAAGATCTCCTGATGTGGAGGGCAGACATGCTGAAAACAGAAAATTTATTTATTTTTCTAGGTGCCCAGTGTCTGGAATTTCAGAAGATGGCTATTTGCCATAGGAAAGAGGAATTTTCTGTTCTTCATACAGAAAATGGGATTAGCTACAACAATATGGGATGTCAAGCAGCCATCATGCTGGCTCTCAGGGCTCCTCTGAACTCAAGGACCACAGCCCACGAGCCCCATGGATCACAACCTTTAAACAATAATGCTCATTAGTGACCTATTTTAGCAACCAAAGGCTTGGAAAGGCCTTTTTGTTGCAAATGAGCAGCGAAGCTCTGCTGGCAGGACTCACCCTGAGAACCTCTCTGCAGATGTAAGCAATCCAGTCTTCCTTGAAACAGTTCCCTTTTGTCTTCTTCACCAAGTCGGTGACAGAGCCTGCCCCGCAGTACTCCATCACCAGCTGCAGGGACACAAACACACACAGGGCACCTTTACCCAGCCCTGCCAGGCCAGGGGGAGAGCACCTGCAAACACCCACTCCCACCACAGCCCCGCAGGGCAAACTGCAGGTGGCCTTCCTGGATGCCAAGTGACTTAAAACCTCATTTCCTGAATCACACACACTGCTAAATAAATAAAAAACCTCACTAGTGCTCCTCTCCTGTCGCCGATTTTATTTTTATTTTTTTTAAGAATGTACAAAATTGGAAAAGCAAGAGTTAACAGCACTGAAAAGCATAGGAATTTTTTATAAATTTGAAATTTCTCATTTTGCCGCAGCGCTTCAAAAATCTTGCAGCCAAAATTTGGAGGATTCATTATTCTGCTTTTCCTTGCTGCCAATTCCTCTGCTTCCTTTTTTTTTCATTTGAAAAAAGGAGAGGAAAGCAACAAGAATGAGAGAAGGCGAAAAGGACAAGCTCTTTCACTTCAGTAAAAAAAATTAGAGAAGAATTTAATTTGGAAAAAAAAAGGGTTAGGTAACAAATCAGAATGACAGCAGCAGTCACATGAATCATAACATACTTTATGCCCATCCTCAAAGGAAATCATAGGGATGGAAGATGTCTAGGGAGCAGTGATTTTTCTCTTTTATATGTTATTCTTCAGAACAATGACTTCAGAGCTTCACTGAGACAGAGTCCAAGCCAAGCATGCTGGAACTCTAAAGAAGGGGCTGTAAATCTGATGAGCAGAAACAACACTAAACACTTACCCAGAGCTGATCATCTTGGCCTGCAGGACTTTTCTTTACAAAAGCCCCATAATATGTAGCAATATTCCGGTGATGGGAGTACTTCTTCAGCATGTTTATCTCCAGCTTGATTTCCTCCTCTTCATTCTGTAACAAAAAAAGAGAGCAGGAGGCTCCTTAGGGGACCAGAGATCATGGAGCCCCAGGGCTGCCAAGCAACCTCTGTCTTTGGGCACTGTGAGCAACCTGGTCTGATCCCATGGCTGACCCTGCTCTGAGCAGGGACCAAAGTTACCCTGGGATTATGAGACTGCAGCTGAGAGATCTGCTCTTAAACTGACAACTCAATCACCCTGATCCATGGGGCTAAACCAATGAATTGCTAGGGTTTGACCTAAAGAATCAAAAATGTCCCCACTCAGGGATAAAAATTGCACATTGTCTCCTCAGGGAGCTCAGACAGTTCCTATTACTCCCCCATTTATGGCTTCTGCATGCAGCAATTGAGTCTCTGAGACTAACTAGATTCAAAGAAAAATAAAATTGTTCCTAACACTCCATTACTTAAATACTTGGAAAAGCACTGAGTGCACACATCAGACAATCTGTCTTCCCAGTCCTGTGGAGGGTCCTGCTGGGAGGAAACCAAAGCCAAGCAAGAGGTGACTTGCCACAGATCAAACCCCAGCCTAAGCCAGGGTTAGGATCTGCTCCTTCCTTACAGCTGTGAGCCTGCCCTGTCCATACCAAGGCTTCTCCCCTCCTAACACCAAGCCATCCATGAAGCTCCTGCCATGCTGGGGGCTAGCACACCCCAAACATCATCTCCCAGGCACCAGCTGCCTGTTTGTCCTTTGTTTCAGTCTCGCCAGAGCAGACGTCCTCTTCTGCCCATACAACATTGTGCACAATAAGAAAACTAGTAGAAGCACAAGTTTTAATAATTATGTTAGAAGGAAGTTCTCTTTTTCAGGGAGAACTGCTTGATTTGGAAAGGTCCCCTCAGAGCTGGCTGGATATGGTACACAACACCCAGTGAAACACACCCAGGTTTTGCCATCTCATCCACTTTAATAGGAAGTGAGTGTATAAGGTATCCTTGTATCAGTTAAAAGGAGTACCAAAAACTTGAAAATTCATTTACCTTGTTGTAAAACATCCCAGTCAGCACTTACTAGCTGAAGGGAAAAAAAAAAGAAGCGGCAGCAAGAAAAACTCAGCCCCAAAGGACATTTTTCTGTGCTTTTCCCCTATTTTCCAGTAGTTTTGCCATTGAAGCATTCTTTTAACCACCATAATGGCCTGCTTACAAAGCCAGACACATTGACCTTTTTACCTGGAGCAACACATTAAAGCTAAATGACAGGCTAAAGCCAAACTCCCTCAAGAACAGGCATATGATGTGTCTTATTAAACTTGACCACACAACAATCATTCCCAACAGAAGGGACCAGTAAGTTTTTCCCAGTAACATCAACACCCAGGAGACACATTGCCAGACCAAAGGCTAACTGTGCTAAGCCTTCAGAGATGTAAAATAACTCTAGTTGAAGCTAAATAGGCCATTTCAGGTTCCCTAATAATCTTTGTTGAACATAGGCTCTCAAGCTGCACACATTATAATAAATAGTTAATTTATCTTTGTTTGCAGTTAGGGAGAAAGGAGGACCCTTAATCCTGATGCAGCCCTGGATGTTGCACGACTGAATTAGTGAGGCTGATGAGGAGCCCAGTGCAGCACCTGGAGTGTCCAGCAGAAATGGGAGCTGGCTGCAGACAGCAGGCAGGAAATCCTCAGGATTCTCTGCACATGGGAAGGGCACAATCAGAGAGAGGCGAGAGCTTGTGCCTGAGGGGTACAAGGCTCTGCTCCCTTTGCAGCTCCAGACAGTGCACGAGAAAGGGTGAACACAAGCAGGTAGCAAGGAGGCAGAGAATCAGGACATGAGAACTGTCACCCTGGACCTGACCACAAGGGTTCTGCCATCTACACAAGCTTCTGGATCTTCAGGGAAGAAGGGCAGAAAGGGGAACAAACAGGGAGGATTCCTTTCTTCCTCTGCTGTCCCTCCTGCATTCTGCCCACTCCTGCAAATGTGTGGAGGCAGAACACCCATCTTTGGTAAAAGCCTTCTGTAAATTACTTAAAATATTTACAGATGTGAAGGGTTTGGGGTTTTTTAACTCTGCCCATCAGCATGAAATTTGGCCTGATGGAGCCCAGCTCCCTGCTGTGCCCTCAGCACCAGCCTGTAGCTTTCACAAAGTTCCCCTTGGGGAGCTGGCAAATCCCAGCCACTTCCTCATAGCTGCTGCCTCTTTTTCAGCTCTTCATCCTTTACCCAATTAATTTCCTGGATGTTGGAACCATGCTGGCAAAGCTCTTATCTAAGTTCAGAGCTTCACTGAGCTATTCCTCTGCAATCTGATCTCCATGTTTTTAAAACAAAACCAAGTCTGTCCATGAACACAACCTGGGTACCCCACAGGCTCTTCCACATCCACTGGCAAGAGCCAGAGGAGGTCACAGGGGTAATGTGGATCTAGGACCAGCAAAATGCAATTCCTGATTTCTCATGTGTCTTTATTTACCCTGAAGGCCAGAACCTGATCCCTCCCTGCACCTGTTTCTCCTTCCCTTGCCCATCCTGGCCTGCAGGGCCCAAGTACCACTGCCCAGCACAGCTGAATGCCTTGGGGAGACAGGGAAACATCACTTGGAGCAGGCAGCAGGCTGAGCTTCAGGGGCTGGGCAAAGGACTACACAGGACAGCAGCTCAGCATTCCACAGACCAATGCACTCTGGCTTCCCAGTGCCTCGGTGAGTTTGGATAAAAATGCTCTGTGCCATGGAAAGCCAAGGCAGAAGGGTAAAGGTGAGTGATTGTGCCCCATGGGCCATGTCATGAGGAGCTGAACCCAGACCTGCTGAGCCTCAGTGCCACGTACACCCTTCAAGCACAGTGACCATGGACAAAAGCACCCTCAGCTTCTCAATGCACACTCAGAATTTCTACTTGCTACCAGCCCTCTTGCCAGCATCACCAGCAGCCCCTGTCCCAGGGGCCTGCTCATAAATAATGCTGCTGAAGGAAAGGAAGCAGCTCACAGATGTGCAGGTGCACAAAGCTGTTTGCTTCACAAACCAACACTCCTGGCACAGATGGCTGCGTGCACAGAGATGACAGGTTCATGATCAAAGGCTGTTTTTGAAGATGTGGGCCTATCTGCAGTGGCATTAGAGCTAGAAACACACTCCTCAGACCACAACTGGAAACGAGATCATCAGCCGATAAATACTGCACCAAGGGACCCCTTAGTACTGGGGCAGGTCTAACAACAAGTTTCACATTTAAATGTTATTTTGCTCTCTAGAAAGAATGAAATCAAAGACAGATGGAGGATGATGTGCTGTAGAAGAGCTCTTTGATCACCTGCTCCGCTGGCTGAAGAGACAAGCAGCAAGAATCCAGTCTCCCTGCAAGCACTCTGCTTGTCTGGCTCTGTCAGAAAACAGGAAGCAGAGCCTGCCTGGAGAGGCACATGAGCACACGTTGCCATCAGCTCTCCTTTAACCATTTCAAAGGGCTACCCCCACCCCCGTGCAACTCAACACAGCAGCACTTCCTGACAGATGTCCAGGGATCCCACAATGACCACAGCATCCTGCTGCTGCTCTTAAGAAACCAGCCTGGGGCTGCAGCTCGTGACAGCAAAGGGCAGATTTGCTGAGCTCTTGGAGTGCCCCAGATCTGAACAACCACAGCTGGAGCTGGGCAGGCAATTTCTGATGAAATGACTTTTTACTGGAAAAAGGAACCCTGAAGATTTGGTGAAAGAATCAGAATCTTTTGGTGAACAAAAGTGGCAGAAGTAGCAGAAGTGACTGCATCCAGACATGCCAGTGCCCTAGCAGCAGAAATACAGCCAACTCTGCACTAGGAAAGTGGAAATAGGAGCAGAAAGCCCTGCACTCACCCTGTGCCAAGCCCAGAAAGCAGGAACAATTGAGCACAGTTGAGCTGGAATTGTTCAGGGTTCAGTGGGGGAAGAGCACCAGGGCAAACCCCTTTGGGCAGTTGCAGTAACATGCTCCTCACCTTCCCATGAAGGGTCTCAATGTGAAAACAGCACAGCCTGCCATCACTGCCCTCAACCAGGACAGGCTCCCCAGCATGGTGTTAGCTCTGTCCCCTGCAGCAAACCAGACCTAAAGAGCTCTGTTTGGTTCTCAGAATCCTGCAAGCCCAGTATGGTAATTCCTAATGCAGGACCATTTCAATTTTGTTTCCAAGTAAGTTGGCATTACTGGATGCTGCCAAACCAGACTTCTAGGAAACTCAAGAGGAAGAAGCAGGGACTCTCCTCAGCCTTCCTGGGGCTCAGGCTAATGTGGTCTCAAGGAGGCAAGCTGCTCCACTACTGGCTGTGCTCTTAAAAGGAGGCACAAAAGCCAATATTGAGGAACTTGCTCAACACCCTGTTTCAGCACCGACACCCATTTATAAACGTGAGTAACACAGTGCCAATTAAACTGTCTGCTTCCCTCATCTGTCAAATCACAATAAAAAAGCACTACATTTGCATTTCTAACATGATCCTGCTTGCTGGCTGTCAGGGCACTACTCTGAGCAACAGCTGGCATGTGAGGGGATAGGATGTGATGAAACACAGCAGACACAGTGCAGAGATACAGGAAATCTTTTAATTGCTATCTCTGAAAGTAGATAATCAAGTAGAAATAAGCAGGAAGAGACTTCTTATCTTTGATATTATTGAACACCAAAATATATGGCAAGGTACTCCCTTATTGCTTTGTCACCATTAGTCAGCCACACTTAAAAAATATGGTTGTGTTACCACCACTCAGTACTTTATAATACACAAACTGGTGCTCAGGAGCCATGATTTACATCAGTGGATCTTTCATGAGCCGTCCACCTTCTCATGATCTGATTATTTATTTTTCCTTGCTGCTTAACAATGACCTTATTATTTCTGGTTTTGCACTCACCTCAGTAACATTCATCACTTTGATTGCTGCCAGCTGCCCAGTCTTAACATGGCGACCCTGTTAAAACGACAGAAGACACTGTGTAAAACATGTAGGCAAACTGAATACATCAACAAATTAGGCCTCTAACAATCAGGTTTGACTAATTGCTTTCAATCGTGTTCAAGGCAATGTTCTAGTTGGAGGTGTTCTTGCTGCAAGGGGGTTGGACTAGGTGACCTTGGACTAGGTGACCTTCCAACCCAGACAATTCTATGTACCAAACAACTCAACAGTGACACAAAACCACCAAGATGAGGTTTGGTGATGTGTTAGCAGAGCCACACCCTTACTGTGCTCTGAATTTAACAGAGTTATCTCTTCCTTTCAGCACAAAGGAAGCAGCAGCGCTGGGAGAGCTCTGTTCTCACAGCACAACACGGCCCAAGCTCACAGGCCTCCATCTAGCTTCTGTTCCACACGTGATGCCAGCCCTCAAGCTCCTCTTCCCGGAGGAGCATCCATCTCAGCACAGCCTCAGAATGTCTGAACAAGCCACTTTCCTGTCCTGGAGCATCCATGGCTGAGGTGTGCTGGGAAGCTGGAAGGCATTGGGCAGGTGGCTCTGTCCCCACCTTGACCCTGACATGTCCTGGCAAAACTCTGGGTTCCAGTACCTCAATCTGGCAACCTCTATGAGGCTGCCAAGAAACTAAAGTTTTATGCATGCGTTTGTCTTTTTTTTAAAAATTATTTTTAATGCTTTTTACTTCAAAATGCTTAGTTTTTATAATTCTTACTTCAGCTGAGTTAACTACATCTCAGTTAGTATCTCAGCTACTTCCCCAAAACCATGCAAGAGCTTTGAATTTAAAAATGTCATTTTCTGTGGTGGTGGGGAAGAACTAACCCAGGACTTTGACTGTGTGAGTGCCTACATATGTCCACAGTTCATTATGGAATGCCCACACCCCAAAGTCACTTTTAAACAACAGACAGCTGGTAACTCCACACTAGAAATAGGCTTGGTTTTGAAAACACAGCTAGGTAAAGGAAGGTAATAGGAAATAAAGCTATTAAAAGAGCAAACTTGCTACTGGGAGTGACAAAATGTGATTCACAAGAACACCCACACGTGAATTTTGCTGTCAGCTGCAGTTTCTTGCTTTGGTGAGGTCAAGCTGCTCAAAGATACCACAGACGAAGCCTTTCACCACGATAACCAGCACTGACCTCACACTGGAAGATAGTATCAACAGATTTGAATAGACAGTGGGTTTGCTGTACATCCCCGCTTATCACTTCCATCAGATGTTCAGAAATGGGTTTGAAGCTTTGAGACCGCAATTTTATTCCCAAAATAGAGGTGACTGCAAAGCTGTATATCAAAATAACTAACTGACAGCAGTTAAGGAAGCCACTGGAAATCAGGAAATCAAATATGAAATGCTGCAGTTTGCAGACAAAATGATTTGCAGGTGCAATTTACACCCACAAAATTAAAAGCTGGGTTGATGTAATTCAAAAACCCAGGTTCTATCTGCACAAAAGTGCACACAAATGTTATTTCTAAGACGAAGCAATTTTGCATCAAAGAAAAATGATTCCTCATTCTCAGGCAATATGTCACAGTCATGTTTTCTTTTACAAAAAACTAAATCCTGCTGAGTTTTTTGTGTATTTAAAGGTGTCCTCTTTCCATGGAAACACTCCTGGGATTGCAAAGCCTTTCCTCATGAAGTAGAATGATAGGATTTACCCATCAGCAGAGACCTCAGGAGGAAGACAAATAGGGCACCCTCTCCCCAGGCCACACAGGCCTTGGTGGGTGAGTGTGGATGGGCTGTGACCATGCCAGCCCAAAGGATGCTGGTGTTGGGTCAGCATCCATCCCAACGCTGGTCAGCAAGTTCAAATACAATCAGTGAGTACTAGGCTAACGCTGCACTTGAATATTCATCAGAATAAAGGAGAGGGAAAGGCTGGGCATTCAGTCCTGGTGTCAAAGCATAACTCCTGGTCAAGTTGTCCCTCTGTGAAACAGATATTGGTCATTTTGCTGCCACAGTTATTTCCATTGGATGCAAAACCTGCTGCTCTCATTTATCACTATAAATGTGAATACTAACCCCCCCCCCAAAAAAAAAAGTTTGGAAAATCTTATTTATGTGGAAGAAAACAGAAAGTCCTTTTGTTTTATGGGTTGTGATTCACCTTTCTTCAAAAAATATGTCCCTGTTAACTAAGAGGCACAACTCAATCCTGCTCCTGCATTAAGGCACAAACTGTGACTGTGCTGGCAGTTCAGAACAAAAATTACAGATTTCTCAGTATTGGTCTTTTAAACTGTTTGGAGTCAATGTTCCTTAACACCTCTAGAAGCAATAAACATCCTGAACCCAGCCCTGGGCTTCTTGCTGAGAGACAGAGAGTAATGCCTTAGCAAGGGAAGATTTCAGTGCTCTCCCTTATTTTTTTCATTTATCAATGAATCTCAGAGGTTAGCCAAAGTTCATGGGAAATGTCACATTGCTGCTTCTGCTGAAGCTACTAAGTTGAGCACGTGTGAATTGTTTTGAGAAAAGCGGTGTTTTGATTTTTGTTTAAAGCTTCCAGGAGCAAACTGGCTGTTTTAACTTTTTCCCAACCGAATGAGATCAGCTGATTCATTCACTTCCAGTGACAAGACACGCTGAAGTTCATCCTTACTGATTTAATCTAAGAACAAGAGGCACTGCCCTCTGAGCCTTCTGCTCACTCTGCCTCTGCCCATCCTCTCCAGATCATTGCAGTTCAGCCTGCAATGCACATTTCCCCAGAAACTGGGCAAGGGCTGGAATGGTCTGTGGGCTGGTTTCTCTAATAAAAGGTTTAATCTTTCACCCAAATGCTCAGTATAAGAGCTCTAGAGAATGTAGTGAATGTATCCAACAGCCATTTGCAACACCCATATTCCTACCCAGGAGTACAGCATCAAATTCTATCACAGAGCTTAGACACGAACAATTCTGAGGCTCAACGCCTTTCTAAAATTGAAGTTCCACCCTTCATTTTAATGAGTTATCCAAGCTGGAAAAAATTCTCCCATTAGCTTTGAGTCCAGCTAAATTCCTGGTCTCCTCCAGAAAATATTTCCGCATAGTCTGCTGCAGTTGCCAGTTGCTCACTACAGCAACACTCAGCAAACCTGAAGCCAGCACACACATTTTTCAAATCTACACACTGCTCATTGCAGCCAGACTTGTGGGAGATGCTTGATGACAAAGATCTGGTTCTGATGAGCTCCAACCCTGCATTATCACTGCAGGGAGAGGTACATGGAACAGGGCAGATTGCTCACTGTTATTTCTGTTGGATGTGTATTTATCTTTTCACCTTAGATAAAGGAACTGCTTATCTACGTCCTTCACTAAGGGTCAAGGCACGTACTTTTCTATTTGCATCCAACAAGAGTGTCAACATTAGCAGCCAGCTATTAGCTGATAAAGGGGCTTTACATGAATTAAGTATATTTACAAAGTGATGCATTCAGTCACGTACAACACCTTTTCCTCTTATGTTCCAAAAATATTTTGGACAGTCCCTGGCTTGGGCCATGATTACAAGAAGAGATCCAAGGTCCCAGTGAGTTTATAGGGCTGCAAGTCACAGGCAGAGAGGTTGGTTTGACAGCTTCCCTCCCAGATCCTGCACGTATCTCTCTTCCTGGGGGTGGGACACAGCTCCCATCAGCTTCCCTCCCCACCTGGGATCCGACAGATTGGAGTGGACAATTGCAAGCCCAGACAGCAGAAGGCAGCTGTCCGCTGGAGTGCTGCACACCGTGCCAAGGCAGCCACGGCAGCCCCAGCACAGGCTTCCTTTCTGGCTCTCATCAATGTTCACGTGTTTCTGGGCCTGTCTGGGGGAGCTGTCCCCACGTAACCGCAGCAGGAAAAAGTGCCTGAGAAAGGCAGGGACTGCCTGCTGCAGGACACCAAGGCTGCACAGAGCTGGGGCACTTCACACACCAGAAGTCCTTGTTCTTGTCCCTGTCCTTGCCTTCTTGTCTGCAACCAGAAGCAGTACAGAGTCAGGTGCCTGCAGGCAGGGACACCTCCCAAAAACCAGAAGACTTGGACACTTCAAGTTTGCACCTTTGTGCCCTTATGAAGGGCCATTTCATACCAAACATACTCTGCTATCAGGCACGGACACCAGAATTACCACAAGAATAGGGGACTCCTGGCTGACCCATCACTGTCTGCTGTGTAAACCTGAAAGCTGGTAAATACCACAGCTTTAACTCTTGGGACCTTCTCTGGATGTTCAAGACTTGCATTTTAAAGCAAGATGTGGCTGTTGGAGGTGTGGGACTTTGGCAGACAAGGTTCTTCTCCAGCAGACATTCCTTATGGGATAGCAGATGCAGCCTGTGGCCACCCGCCCTTGGGGAGCGAGGTGAAAGCACAGCTGTGTGCTGCGGGCTCTCACCGAAAGTGAACTCGAGCAATCAGATTTCCTGTTCCAAATGCACTGGTGAACTTTGAAGTGTGAGCCCATCTGTGTGGCCCTGCAGGGCTGGCAGCCTGCCAGCTCAGCCCCGTGGGACCGGTCCCCACCCTTTCACCCCTCTCCATCCTGCAAATACAAGAAAAGCCTTCAAGAGATAATGCAGGGAGCGAACAATGCTCTGTGCAGGGATCCAGGAAACCCTCTGTCCTATTCCACGTGATCTTAATGAAGTCATGATCCTTCTGTTTCCTTTCCACCCGCACAGGACTCTTCTAGTCAGACCCAGTTCTTCAGAAGGGATGAGGGATGTTTGCTAAGCCCAGCCCCAGAGGCAGTGGGAACAGGAGCTCTGCCTGCTCACACAGCAGGCCTCCCATGGGGCTGCACTGTGCTCCCCGGTGGGTCAGCACAACAGGGAGAGGAGAACCCCAAAAATATAAAACCTGCAGATAGGCTGTTCCTATGCAGCAGCTTGGACACAGCCACTGTTCTACACTCCTCATACAAGCATGCTGCTGTCCCTCAGGGTCTTCATGATGTTAACAAGTGGTCAGGGCTTGCACACCTGGGCTGAGTCACCTGAG